CTGAAATTAGAAGCAGAGCTAGGGTCTGGTGGGATACCTAGCAGGGATCCTATAAGGGTGTCAGTAGTGGGCTACAAAGGTCCACTGAACTGGACTGAAACTGGCCAGCCTGTGCCCTAACTCCTTTTCCATTCTCTTCTTTCCTTCTGTGTCCTGGTTCCAGCCCTGAAGGAGAGGCCTCAGCTCCTGTCCTAGCCTGTGACAGCACTGGGCAGAAAGAAAGGCAGCGGAGTGCTGCAGTAGAGAGTATAGGCTCTGGCAGCAGATGGACTTGGCTTCAAGTCCTAGCTCCACCACTTACTACCTGGGGGCCCAAGCACTTCAGTTTTTCCATCTGTATCTTAGAGCTAGCCTTGTGGGACTGTGGTGGGAATTCATCGAGATCCAGCCTGGCAAAGGCATAGGTCTCAATGGATGTAGGTCTCAGTGGGTGTACAAGGAATGCCTGGTCCTTGGAAGCATGCCCAGAAGTCAGACAGTGGACAGACTTTGGCTCATTGCTTCCTTAGGTCCAGCAGCTTTTCCATGTCAACCTTTCTGGAAGACCGCTTGCCATTGCCGTGAAGGGAATCAGAAAGCGAGCCTGACTCCTCCAGAGGCTCCCCGCACCCTGGGTCATCAGAGATCATGGAGCAGAGGGCCCCTCTTGCCCCCACCTTGGCCAGCGCTTGTCTCTTTGCCGCCATCTGTGTACTTCCGCAGTGGTTTAGCTGGAGGAAGATGGAAACCTGCGATTCTTGGAAACCCATCTGAAAGTTCACAGAATCAGCCATACAAAGTATGAGACATGAACTTGGCTCCTGGTGTTTTTCTTCTTCCTTGTTTTGTGATGGTCACACAGAAAGTAAAATCTAGCACCATGCTACTAAGCCCTGTGTCGTCTCTCCCACCAGCCTGGGCTCCATATCATGCTCTGCAAGTCTGGAAGAAATCCTGGTCAGATCCTCTAGCTCAGGCCTCGTGCTCACTCCCTTCCTTCTTTGCAGGGGAGAGGCGGGGGCCTTACCGGGGGGTGGGGTGGGGACTGAGACTGGCCTCCTGGGGTCTGCTCCTGTGTAGAATTCCAAGGGCCTTGATGAGCTCACCCTCATTCCTCCCAGATTGCTTGGCTCCAGTTTCCATGAATGGTTTCCTCAGGCTCAGCCCCAGATCACAAACCTCAGATTTTTTTTTTTAAGATGTATTTATTTGAAAGACAGTTGAGGAGTGGGCAGAGGGAGAGAAATCTTCTATCCACTGGTTCATTCCCCACATGGCCACAATAGCTAGAGCTGTATCAGATCCAAGTCGGGACCCATTCGGGTCTCCCATATGGGTAACAGGGATCCAGGCACTTGATCCATCCATGCTGAGTTTTAGACATGTTAATAGAAAGCTGGATTGAAAGCAGAGCAGCTAAGACTCAAACTGGCAATCCGATAGGAGATTGGAGTATTACAGGTGGTGGCTTAGCCCAATGCACAGCATTGCCCACCTTTGCCATGCACAGAATCCATGTGGGTACTGGGGTGGCACAGTGCAGTTCACCTTGGCAGAGCTATAGTAGTCCCGGGTGCAGGAGGTGGTGGGACCCATGGTAAAGAATCTGGAGAGGGGACTCATTGCATGATGCAGGGCCTCGGGTTCCAGTACAGCACTGGCTGCTGGGAGGACAGCCTTGCATCCATGCAGCAGATAGAGTATGCTGCTATGCAGCTGTGGTCCCTAGCCTTGATGACCAGCAAGCTGGAGAAGTCCCAGGCCCACCTGGCCTGATGCACCATGCATTTTGTGACAAAGCCAAAGTGTAGCAGACACAGAGGATAAGGAGCTTCTTGGAGAGCGGCAGCTGGGGCGGGGAGTGGGGTGGGGCATGTGACCAAGTGTGTAGATGACCACACGCACCTCAACCCAACTGTGATTGAGAAGATGAAGGACTTGCTCTCACTCATTGGAAAATAGGAGTTCCACCAGTGATGAGCAGGGCTGGTCTTTATTTTTCAATTTGTTGATATGGTGAATCACATTTATTGATTTGTGAATGTTGAACCATCCCTACATGCCAAAAATAAATCCCATCTGGTCTGGGTGAATGATCTGCTTGATGTACTATTGGATTCTGTTGGCTAGTATTTTGTTGAGGATCTTTGTGTCTATGTTCATCAGGGATATCAGTCTGTAGTTCTCTTTTTCTGTTGTGTCTCTCTGAGTTTTATATTAAGGTGATATTGCTTTCATAGGAAGAGTTTGGAAGTATTGGCTTTCTATTGCTTGGAAAAGCTTGTGGGGAATGGGGGTAAATTTTTCTTGAAATATTTAGTAGAAGTCAATCCCAAAAGGTAAAATGCCATATGTTCTCTCTAATATAAGGAAACCATCATGCAAATTATAAGTTCAATAACCCTTTCCATACTGTTTTTGCTGCATCCTATGTGTTTTGATGTTTTTTGTTTTATTTTCATTTCTTCCAAATACTTTCTTTTCTCTTGTTGAATTCATCACTGGCTCATGGATTGCATGGTGGCATAATTTTACCCAAGAGATCTTTTTGTTTTCATCACCCGTGCATTGGTGATTCAGTGGCATGTGTTTTCGACTCCACAGTGCTGTGTTTATTTCTTCTTTTTGTTTTTGCTTTAACTTCATACCCAAGGCTTTGGCCTGTCCTTGACTGCTTTGCTAGGCCATAAGCAGGGAACTGGAAGGGAAGTAGAGCAGCTGGGTCATGAGCCAGCGCCAATATGGGATCCGATACTTGCAGGGCAAGGAATTAGCTACTGAGCCATTATGCTGAGGCTGTAGCTTTTGTTTTGTGGCTTGTGATATAAATGGTATAATGATACCTCTGGTAAAAAGAGATTGACACCAAACCACAAACTTTTTCCTCTACTTCTACCAGACCACAGGCAAAGCAGATGAGCCATTGGTACCTGTGTCATTAAGAAAGCTGTAATGCCTGGGAGGGTTCTTTTTTTTTTAATTTATTTTTTTATTATTTTGACAATCTTTACATAGTTAATTAGGGTAAAAAGGTTCAAGGGCTACAGGAAAGTGGGTAAGACTATTATTTTTTCCATATTGTTTTCTTCATGTTTAAAGGGGTTGGGAGGGTTCTGACTGGGGACAGGAGGACCAGGTGTTGCCAGGATAAACACTGCTGCCTGAGACTGAGCCTTCAAAACATTACCCAGTACCAAATCTGACCCAAACTCAGCACCATTTGACTTCTGAGGAGATTTGCTTCCCAGATATGTTAGCAGGGAGCTTGTTTGGAAAGTGAGCAGCTGGTATTCAAAGTGGACCTCTGATATGAGTTACTGGCATGGAGAACAGTGGGTTAACTTGCTGTGCCACAATGCCTGCCCCTGGGAGCCCAGAAATTTCTGGCTGAGGCTATTGTGGTTCTGAGCAGCCATGCACTTAGACTTATAAATTCTCCCAGAAGCAGAGGAAGCTGGTGCGGGCAAGAACCAGCATTGCCCTGGAGGAGGTAGGCTTTCTCACTTCCTCATTGGGCAGATGGTTCAGATGATAAAGAGCAAAGGAAAAGAGTGGGGGAGTCCCTGGTTGGGGCAAGACCGACTGGCACCCTGAATACCTGCGGGAGATTAAGCTCAGACCCACCTGGCACTGGAATGAGGAAGCCCCTTCCCCGCTGGGGCAGGGCTGCATTCCTGCTGGGGTTCCACTTCAGCTCTGTTTGGGGTGAGACTCATGCTACAAGACAGGGTCTGAGCTTCAGCTGACAGCACAGTCCTAGATTTCTCTCCCCACTAGACACCTACCTGGGGGCCTCCAATCTCTGTTTACAAAAGGCAGAGCTGTGATTGAATGACCTAGTGAACCAAAGGGTCCAACATCTCCAACCCGAGTGCTGGGATCCCTCTGCCTCTCCTGGGACAGCTCCCAGCTCCTTCAGGGCAGCCCAGCCCTTTACCCCGTAACATCACATTGTAGAACCTCACACTTGCTGGCCCAGCAAGACCTCACAGCAACCTGTTGATGGAGGGTCAGAGAAGGTAAATAACTTAGCAAAATCACACAGCCACCAGTTCTCTACCCAGAGCTATTCCCACTGTAATATGGCTCTGGCCCTGATGATGGGCCCTGTGTGTCTGCTGGCGATGGTTCCAAAGCTCATGTCAATGTTGGCCATTCTTTGAAGGCTAATATCCTGCAGCCTCACTCTGGTTCTGGTCCAATCCCCTAGTGGTCACTAGGTCATCACCTTACACTTTCCCTACACCTAGCTCCAATTAGCACAATCACCCTCTCCCTTCCTCTAGCCGGCCGCTCTCCCTGCCTCACCTCTCCAGAGAGGGGCATTGAGAGCAGAACAGCAGGATGTTAAATGAGGGAGATCAGAGTTCTCCCCACCTACCCTGGGGAGCTGGTTCCTGTGAAACCTCAGAGGACCGTCCGTCTCTCTAAGGCTTGGGCATCTGGGTGGATGCCAGGGCTCCAGCTCATTTAATTGAGCACCTACTCAGTGTACCTTTTTGAAGAACTCCCATTAGGCAGCAAGTACTGAGGAAGACTTGTACTATCTCAGGAGACAAATATGGCCAGCAGTGGGCCCTTCTTAAGGGTTAGGATGTTGAGGTTCTGCAAGTTTCTCTACCTTTCTCTAATAGGATCATTGAGCCAATAAAGGATCAGACACAAACATCAAGGTTACTGTCTGTGAAGCCTGAGGGCTCTGGGCAAGGGGCAGGTGCAACAGTGGAACACAGGTGGCTCCCACGGCCTCCTCCACAGCAGAACCGAAGGACCACGGTGAACGTGACTGACAGCCCACTTCACAGCAAGCACAGGGGGCAGGGGAAGCCACTGACACCCTGACCTGCCTGCTCTGCGCCTGCACATGTGTAGTTGTCTGGCTGAGTCCTGGAAACTCCCCAGCCACACCTGGCCGGGCAGCTGCTCCTGCTCCTCCTCCTGGGGTGCAGGAAGCAGGAAAAGGCGGTAGGAGGAGGCAGGGGGCAGTGAGGGAAGGCTGGCCAGTGGCGCCCCTAGCCAGCATGGGCTCTCTCTGGGTCCCTGTTTTGCTGCTTCTCTTCTGCTTCCGGATTGGGGTGGCTAACAGCACCGCAGGTAAGGAAGTGGAGCTCTGCGGGCTGGGGGCGGGGAGGGGCGGGGGCGGTGGAAGGTGGGTCCTGGAGTGGTGCTCCCTAGTGGTATGAGCAGGCCATCCTAGGGTCTTGGTGAGGCTCTCCACAGGTTGTTGTTGTAAAGGGCCCAAGGGAATGACACCGGGGGCAGAGAGTAAATAGCAGAGCAAGCAGACCAACCACAGCACTGCTATCTCGGCTGGATGAGAGCCAGGCCAGGGGAGTGGTATAGGGGGAAGAGTCCTGATGCATTCCCAGACTGGGTGGGGGGTTGAGAGAGCCTCCAGTTGGGAGAAGGTGGCACCCCCAGCCCCAGTGCGTTTCTTTTTAGCTTAAGTCTAGATATGTTGTAAAGACTGCACTAAAAAGACTCATATTGAAAAATTCCTCACTGTTTATTTGAAATTCAAAAATTTAACTGATGTCATTTGTTATTATTTATGAAATCTGGCCACCCTTCACTTGATCCATGGGAAAAGAGAGTTCCCCACCCCAGTGTGGACAGAGGAGACCAGCCTGCTGATGTAGCCTGTTCCGGGTGTGGTGGAGAGCACGGAGTTCCCTCTGGCCTTCGGCTGCTGCGGCTCCAGGGCTTATCTCAGCGCAGTGTCCTGCTCGCTGGAGAGCTGCAAGCAGCCTCTCCACAAGGCCAGGCTCCTCACTGCATGTGGACAAGGCCTAGGCATCCTCTCCTCAGCACCCCGGTCCCTCCTCATAGTTTTCGAGCCCACGCTGGAGGCTGGGCTGGGCCACTCTCCTTCCCTTGCTTGAGCCCCATAAGGACTCTCCACATGCTCCCTGGCTTTCCCAGCAGTATCCCCGAGGCTCACTCTGAAGGCTCCTCTCACCCCCTGTGTACCTCATTACCTCTCAAGAAAACTACAGGCCTTCTTTGTGGTTTTAAGAAAAGCATTTTTGGGGGAGACACTTGCTGGATGAGAAAAGTCTGTAGGGGATGGAGGGAGGATGGTGCTATGGCTAATCCTCCATCTGCAAGCATGTGAGAGCTGGTTCATGTTCCAACTGCTCCACTTCTGATCCAGCTCTCTGCTGATGGCTTGTACTTATGTGGGAGACCCAGAAGACACTACTGGCTCCTGGTTGAATCAACCCAGCTTCAGTAGTTGGGTTCATTTAGGGAGTGAACCAGTGGATGGAAGATTTCTCTGTCTCTCCTTCTCTCTGTAAATCTGACTTTCAAATAAAAATGAATAAAACTTAAATAAAAAACAAAAAAGAAAACTCTATAGGAAAGTGACACTGATTCATTCAGGAAGTTCCAAGGATATTGGTTCTTGGCTTACTTGGGACTTGAACCTGCTTTGCTCAGTCTTGGAGGTTACCCGCTCCCTGAGCTGGCTACAGACCAGCCATCAGCAAGGACCCTGGGACTTGCGGGCTTCATATGTTGGGGCCTCCGAGGACATTTGTCAAGGCCACCCCAGCTCTGTGGCTGCTGCATGTGACAGGGCTTCCTCATACTGCCTCTGTCTTCCTTGGGCATATAGGGGGTCTTCGTGGCTTAAACGAAAAAATTATTTGTGTATTTGAAAGGTAGAGTGACAGAAAGAGGGAGACAGAGATGACTTCTTCCATCAGCTGGCTCACTCCCCAGATGGCTTCTACAGCCAAGCCTAGGCCAAACTGAAGCCAGGAGCTGAGAATCCATGTGGAGGCCATTGTTGGCTGCTTCTCACATGCATTAGCAGGGAGCTGGAGAGCAAGCAGAACAGCCAAGATCTGCATTAGCATTCCAATATAGGATGTAGGCATCCCCAATGACTATACCACAGTGCCCACTCCTCCATGAATTTTTTTGAAGTGTCCTCTTATGGGTGACAAGTGGGGGGAGGGGTGGTTCAGTACAATGTTGCTGCTAAGACACCTGCAGCCTGGGTCGGAGTGCCTGGCTTCATGGCCCACCTTCACTGCCATGTCCAGTTTCCTGCTGATGTGTACCTTGTGAAGCAGCAGGTGATGGTTCGGGTGGTTGTGTCCTTGCTACCCACATGAGTCACACCTGTTGAGTTCCCATCTCCTTCCCGGCATTGACCTGATTCAGCCCGGGCTACTGTGAGCATCTGGAAAATGAACCAGAAGATGGGACACTTGCCTGTCTCTCTCTCTCTGGGTCTCTGGCTTCCAATAAATAAATAAATAAATGAACAAATAAATACATTACAACTTTCCAAAAAACAAGCTAACACTCCTCCTGCCAACAGTGTCCAGGGCTGGGTGAGGACAGTGCATCGAGACTCATGGCTCACAGTCAGTCTTACTCTACACAGGCCTCAACACTGGTGCAACAGCCCCTTTGGCGACAACAGAAACCACACAAGCACCTGCCGGGACTCCAGAGTTCAGGACCAGGCCAGAGGGAGCCTTGCAGACCAGAGGCCCTGCCGAGATCTCAGCAGCGGCCTACATGGCCTTGGAAACTCACACCCTGAGTGCAGAGACCTCTGCCAACACCCCTGTCCCAGGCAGGTCAGTGTCAGAAGCAGAGATGAGGGAAACAAAGACCACTTTGCCTGTGTCACAGGCCAGAACCTTCTCCGAGGCAGTGCCTTCCACGTTCACAGCTGGGATCACCACTCCTACCCCTCTGGAGACATCAGTAATAACTGGCATAAACCCTGTGCTGCCCACCACCAGGGCCCACCCAGGCAGTGCTCCGACAGATGCCACCCTAGTCACCATTTGCACTGAGCACAGCCCAGAAGAGGCCAGGAGGATTACAACCGACATGTGGACCTTGGCTCACACCTCCCCGGAGACCGAGGGCCTCTCCCCAGGCAGCAGCTCCTCTTCTTTTGACACAGGCTCAGTCCTCGCCACCTCCCAAGCCCCTCCACCTGACCTCACAAGTCCCATGAAGGCCTTAGTTCCCCACGCCACTGCCCATGCTGAGGTTACCAACTACAGCCTGATGCAGGTAGAAACAGCTACCGCCACCTCTAGGGCCTCAGATGCAGACCTCCGCAGCCCAGGAGGGGAGGTCTTGTCCACCTTTGGAACCACCACTTTGTCTGCCTCCACTACAGCTGTGTCACACACTGCTGACGCCTCAACCTCTGCTGGGACCCCAGTCTCCGTGATTTCTTCTTCTGCTGGGTCTTCAACTGTAGCCCAGAGCTTCTCGGAAGCAATCATCATCAGCAGCACTATACCTTCTCAGACCTTTACCTCCAACAGTACAAGCATCGGGCTCTCTCCCACCCACAGCCACCCGCCCATCTCTCCCCAGCTGATCACGACCTGCAGCGGCCCAGAGACACCCACCCCCTCAACCAAGACCACACCCCCACCCAGGACCTCTAGGCGGCCCGCGGCTATGCCCTTCACTCAGACAAGCAAGACTACAAAAGCAATGCCCTTCACTCAGACAAGCAGGACTACAAAAGATGACCCAGGTAAATGATCCATCCTCACCTGCCCTCCCCACCTCCCACCACTGCATGTGAGATTATTGGGGCTTGGGGATTTGGAGCCTGCAGGATGTCACCATGGGAAGAAAGGAAGATTCAGGGACCTTCTCGTGATGCTGTCCCGAGACAGTAGTATGGGACGGTGGGTGGGCTGCAGGGAATGAGAACAGAAGTAGTTTGGAGAGTTGATTTGAGGTCTTGGCTCTGGGAGACCCTCGCTGGGTCTCAGAGGGGTGGTATCAGGTGAACACTGAAGGTCCTGCCAGCTCTGACCTGCTGCCAAGGGAGGTGGTCAGTAACCAATGCTTTGTATCAGGCAGGGCGCCCAGTTTTATTCAAAAGGCAGGGCCTGGGCCCGGTGGCGTGGCCTAGCGGCTAAAATCCTCGCCTCAAACGCCCAGGATCCCATATGGGCACTGGTTCTAATCCTGGCAGCTCCACTTCCCATCCAGCTCCCTGCTTCTGGCCTGGGAAAGCAGTCGAGGACAGCCCAAAGCCTTGGGACCCTGTACCCGTGTTGGATACCTGGAAGAAGTTCCTGGATCCTGGCTTTGGATTGGCATAGCATCGGTCATTGCGCTCACTTGGGGAGTGAATCATTGGACAGAAGATCTTCCTCTCTGTCTCTCCTCCTCTCTGTATATCTGACTTTCCAATAAATAAATAAATCTTAAAAAAAAAAAAGGCAGGGCCACATGCTAGGGAGTCCCAATTCTAGTCATAGCCACACCAGTCCCTGGCCTAGGCTGAGTGGCTGAGTCTCCAGGAAGGTGAAGCTCATGAGATGCACCTGCTGGGGTGTATACCATTGAGAATGACCTTCAATTAATCAGTCTAGTGGGGGTATTAAAGTTCAAAGCTATATCTCTGAGATAACAGGTAGTTTTTGGTAAGTCTCATGTCAGAGATCACTGGGTCTGTCCAGCTGCCGGTCCTCCTGGTAAATTGCACCTCCACTTCCTGTCACACTCACCTTGAACCCATCCTCATTCCTGGACACCCTCAGTCTTCCCCACCTTTCCGGGAGGTGAAACAGAAAATGTTAGTTACAGATGCTCTGCTGAATATCTTTTATATTCTTGGCAAGGGGATTACAGAATATTTCACAATCCATAAGCCTTGGCACCAACTGATACCAGGCAGGGTCCTTTGAGCTTTGTATGTTATCTCTTCTAATACAATTGCCAGGACTGGGAAAACTGAAGCCAAGAGCCAGGAGTGTCTTCCAGGTCTCCCATGTGGGTGGCAGGGTCCCAGGCACTTGGGCTGTCTTCTGCTGGATCAGAAGTGGAGCAACAGCGACTTGAACTAGCCCTCATATGGGATGCTGGCATTACTAGCAGCAGTTTAACCCACTACATCACGATGCTAATGCACTGTTTTTTTGTGTGTGTGTGTTTAATTCTAAGCTGCCTATCTTTATAAATTGTTCACTAGATAATGCATTTACATGATGTAAAGTACAAAGGGGAGACAAGCATTTATCTAATGCTTAAGATGCCTGCTTCCCACATCAGAGTTCCTTGGGTTCAGTTCCTGGCTCTGGCTCTTGAGTCTCTTGTCACTGCCGACCCTGGGGGTAGAAGATGATACCTCAAATAACTGGATTTCTGCCACCCTTGGGAGAGACTCAGATTGAGGTCTTGGCTGCTAGCTGCCACCCTGGCCAGACGTTTGGAAAGTAAGCCAGAGTGCGCTCTCCTTCCATCTCTGAAAGTCTAATACAAAGCAAAACAAACAAATAATACATTCAAAAGGGACAGAGCAGTCCACCCCAAGATGCCTTTCACTAATGACCATTCCCTGGCTATCCCATTCTCACTCACACAGTTCTTGGGATTGCCTCCCATGAGTCATCTTCTGTATAAGAAGTGTGCAGCGCTTGCTCCATCTCCCTCTTTCATCCTTTTAAATGCATTTATTTTTTCATTGGAAAGGCAGATTTACAGAGAGACGGAGAAGCAAAGATCTTCCATCCACTGGTAACTCCCCAAGTAGCCACACAGCCAGAGCTGAATCCATCTGAAGCCAGGAGCTTCTTCCAGGTCTCCCACATAGGTGCAGGATCCCAAGACTTTGGACCACCCTCAACTGCTTTCCCAGGTCGCAAGGAGGGACCTGGATGGGAAGTGGAGCATCCGGGATATGAATTGGTGCCAATATGGGATCCTGACGCTTGAAGGGGGAGGATTAGCCACTGAACTAGGCCCCATCCTCCTTTTCTATGCAAGGGAAATGGATGGTAAATTCATATCCCTGAGATAAAGTTATCTCAAGGGGGAGGAGGGATAGGAAAGATTTTTAATCACCTTGCTATTATTTTAAAAGATGTGTTTATGGGCCTGGTGGGCTAGCCTAGTGGCTAATGGCCTCACCTTGCACATGCCAGGATTGCCTATGGGTACTGGTTTGTATCCCAGCTTGGCTTTACAAATCGTTATGGTAAGAGTGTTCCCTTGATACAGACCTGCACACACTCTAGACAGGCAGTACACTGGACAGCAGGTGGCTCAAGCGAATGCGTCATCTTGGTGGCTGGCAATCCCCCCCACCCTTCCCCTAAGGAACTGACTCTTTTAGTGGTTGCCCAGCATCCTCTTTGGTTTTCCCATTACCAATGTAACCAGTACTCTGAGAAAGAGACACTTAGGTTGTGTCCACTATTTTGTCATAATCAGAGACCATGTAGGAAATAGCATGTTTCTGCCACACATGTTGCTTTCTGTGAGATAATCAGCTCTAACAGGTGCTGGGATGAGAGAAAGGACTCCAAGGGGGGCAGGTGAGGCCGGGAGTTGAGGATTCAGTAAGAGAGAGTTTCCTGCCAAGCCACTGGGTTGGAAGACTTGGTCACCCTCCAGCAACTTAGAGCTGTAAGAACTGGCTGCCTGGGCCCCCTCTCTGAGAGCTGGCCTTTCTCTGGCACTGTCTCCGGTTGGGCCTGTACCCACTTAGGATCTGAGAGCATTTAGATCTGCTTCCATGTCTCTTTTTTCACTCTCCACTTTTTGACTCCTTTAAATGTCGCTGGTGCCTCCAAGCCACGATTATTTTTTTCCGATCATGTCAGGAGGTCACCACGGTGGATGAAGCATCCTACTTAGGATGTCCTTTTCTTTCTGTGTGCTGTGGTAAGAAGTTTTGTGAGCACGGCCATGTGTACACACGGATTGGCCACAGCCCCCGGCAGGAAGCACCTCTTAGAGCTTCCAATGGAATCCCCTGTGTCCTCACCTCCCTTCTGTTCTCCACCAGCAGGTGGTGGCTTCCTCCTCCTGCGACTGACCGTGACCTCCTCCGATGACCTCACGGACCCCAGGCTGGTGGAGAGGCTGATTCAGCAGGTGAGTGGGCACTTGCTGGGGAACCAGGGACGGTAGAGGAAAGGGAGACATTCGCAGGGATGAATCGCAGGACAGAGAGAGAGAGTGCCCCCGTGGGAGGGCTCTGCATCCGAAGATCCAGCCTTGCCTGTCTGACTTTCTCATTCTTTCTTTTATTTTCCCCCCCTGAAACATAAACTCATTCTTCCCCCAACCTGGCCTTAATTTCTTCATGTCCTGGGCCTCCCAGGAGGTCCATGATGCTAAGTAAGGCATGAGTGGGCAGGATGATGGGTGGCAAGTGGCAGAAGCTCAGGTCATCGTTGTTCACATGGAAAACACAAGGGTGGGGAAACCCAGACGTTGCTCTGCCAGCTTCGGTCACGGCTGAATTCAGCAGCTCAGAAGTAATCATGGAGGTTCCCCTTTGTCCCCCTCTTCTACCGCTGCATCCTTACACCTGCAGTTTTTCTCCCTGTATCTGGAAAGGTGGTGATGACCACCTTAGTTTCACATGGCGCCTGTCCCTCCCTACATGTATCCATCACCCAGGGAAGGACTGGTTTTGTCGACCGACAGCAGTCACTGTCACAGACAGCCCCAGTAGACCCAGAGGACATGGGGCTTTGAGACAGAGCAAACTCATAGCAATATAGACTAGATAAGGTACAAACTTAGGCAGTATTCATATAGTTGAATTCTCATCAAATTCGTGTCGTTGGACAAGGTCTCCAGTGGTGGAATTCGAGGTCGGGGCTTTTGGGGATAGCGTGACTCCTGCACAGTTAGACTGAGAAGGTTCAGCACCTGTCTCACCAGTCCAGGTTCTCTGAGGTGTGGCTGTCCTGCTCTACAGAACAGGTGAAACATCATGTAGTGAGAGTGGCTAAGTTGTGTACATACATGTGCCCTGGCAGAAACAGGCTGGCTGCAGTTTGTCCCTGCCCGAGCATCCGACTTGTTGCTAGCACCAGACATCATCAGTGAAGGTCACACATCAGGGACTCAGGCTTGATGCCTCCATGTGTGTAAGGACACATCTGGCAGAGGTGCCGGCTGGAGGTCTTCGGCCAGTAGGAGGATCCCAAAGCTGGACTGCACAGAGATGGGCAGGAGCCTTGGCAGGTGGATGCGTAGGGTGTCTATTGTATCCACAAAAGAAAATCTCTGCATGTCCTAAGTGATGGTAGCTTGGATGGCCAGCTCCACGGGCACAGGATCAAAGGGCTGTCAGAGGAACTGGGTTCAAAGCCAGACAGGAGTGCCTGGGCTGTGGAGCATCTTGGGACTGGGCAGTGGGACTGTCCTGCCTAGGACTTTGTCACTCCTGCTGCGGCTGCTAGCAACCAGCATGTTGATACCCAACAGGCCATGCGTTGCTCTTGAACACATATCTCAGTGCTGGGGAACAGGCAGAGGGGATGATGGGATGGGCAGAAAAGATAGTTGGGTCCTGGAGTCCTCGTGGGCTCATCATCTCTTAAACCTGGCTTGAGAGTTGGTTGTTGGGCTGCCCAGGAAGGAACAAAGCCCCATGCATGTGATGGTCATAGCAGCCAACAGGAATCCTGTTTGAGGAGGGAAGCAGGGGCTGAGTGTCAGATCTGAGTTCCCAGACTGGAAATTACTTAGCAGGAGTTGGAGGCAGGCAGATAGAAGCAGGCTAGGGAGCCGAGTGGGGCAGGAGCCAGGCCATGTGGGTGTTGGGTATCAGTGCTTCTTGGGGAGCAATGGACATCTGTGTGACTTCTATGTGACCTTGAACAGGATATTCTAGGTAAATGTTACCTCTTCTAGAAGGAGCAAAGCACTGCTGGCTCTGTAAGTTACCTTATTCTGTTGAGGACATGAAGAGCCTGGCCTGTGTCCAGCCCCCAAGGGGCTGGGGGCTCAGGAGGTGTTACCATCCATTTTGAGTATCCCCTCCCATTCTCTCTTCCTGTCCTCCACCCATGATCAACCCATGGGCTGGATGTGCTGGAAGCACCCCTTGGCTCTCTTTCACCCTCTAGCTCTGCAGTGAACTGCCCAGCCACACACCTGCCATTCGGGTCTCCTTGCTGCGCATCACGAGGACCTAAGGAATATGTAGCCAGGAGGGTCCTGGATCCCTCACAGAAGGACACACACTTATGGAACTGAAAGGTGCCTGGAAGTTTCTAGAGAAGTTTGCCGGCTGGTGCTCTACACCCCATGCGTAGGTTCTGCGTGTCTGGGGTAGGGGCTCCCCCTGTCCCCAGAAGTGTTCTTGAAATTTGCTTGGTGCATGTGTTGTGTTTCAGTAAAAAGAGACCTGGTAACCCATCTGTGCTTCTCTCCTGGACTGCAATGATGCTCGGTATGGCTTGAGGGTTGTGTCTGGCCTGCGTACATTTTCCTTACATGGAGATTGGATGTATCCACACTGCTCCTGGCATCCCTAGACAGTGCTCTTTGGGGCCTTGATTACAACACTTACTGAGTTGGCCTGGGGCGTGGTTGGCAAGTAAGTGCCTTCCAGAGAAGGGTCCCCATCGTCCCTCTCTGCCTCCCCTAGCCCTCACAACTAGATCACAGAGCATGCCGGTTGGATTGACTTGGCGTCAGCTTGGCAAGAAAGTCTGCCCCAGGGAGCTGTAGCCCTGTGCTGGCTAACGATGTTTGGACCATGCCAGAGCACACACACTGTCCCGTTTGTCATCTGATGATGTCACAGCAGCCTTGGCATGTGGGAGAGCATTCTGTGAGGGCTACACAACCAGGAAACATGCTAACGGGGTTTCTGGGAAGGTTTCTCTGTCATTAAGTGGCAGGTGATTGTATACCTCTCATAGCTCACAACCTGTGTGATTCTGTCTACAAAAATTCAACCCAGTGAACTGTTTTGTTTAAGTCTGTGATACCACCAAAATGGCTCCTAATTAGCAAATTTAAAGAGTTCCGAAAGACTAAGCAAATATGAAATGAAAAAGGGGAAAATAAAGAAATATGAAATGAAAAAGGGGAAAATAAAGAAAAATGGTGGTAGCATCCTTCTCTCCTCTGCAGCTGAGGTCTCTGTCTGAGCTCAGTGGCTCCCCCAGCCCCACCCCTGGGGAAAGGACTCCTTACAGACAATGCTTCCCAAACTGAGGTCCTGGTCCTCCCCTTTACCCCCGAACCTGCTCTGCCCGCACAAGCTCCATCTCAGTTCATCTCAGTTACATCCCGCAGAGCCCCACGCCTCACACATGTGGGCCATTCCCTCTTTTTCTCTTTCCCTGACTCCAGTTACTAGCCAACCCTATTGGCTTCCAGGCTGGCAAACTATGGCTTAGTCTAAATCCTTCTCAGCATCTCTGCTGCCATCACCAAGGTGGTCCAAGATGCCACTGCCCTACACCTTTATCTCCGCAATCCCTGGAGGACCACAGGTATTCCTGATTTCACTGTCATGTATTCCCCAACCTGGTTCCTGCATGCCAGCCAGAGACCTGCTATTACAACTTATATGACAGTGCCCACTCTGCCCCTCCTGTCTCTCTCTTTTTTTTTAAGATTTATTTTATTTTTATTACAAAGTCAGATATACAGAGAGGAGGAGAGATAGAGAGGAAGTGGAGCTGCCGGGATTAGAACCGGCGACCATATGGGATCCTGGTGCATTCAAGGCGAGGACCTTAGCCACTAGGCCACACCACCGGGCCCACCTCCTGTCTCTTTTAAGGAGCAATGGTCTGCCAAGCTATGCATGATTGGCCATTGGCATCCCCCTCTCCTCTCCTTTTTAACTTGCTCACTGCTCGGGGATCACATTCACTGGGATGCATTTCCCTGAATGTCTCAGGCCCGTTTCTGCCCCAGGAGCTTTACATGTCTTGCTCAGCCTCGCTTTAGAAGGCTTCCCCTGTTATCCATGGAGCTGACTCCTCCACCTCCGTGTTCTTTTCCAGAGAGGTTTACTCTGGCCAGCCCCTCCTACCTCTGCTTGGATTTTCTTCATAGCACCAACAATACGCTCATTTCACTTGTACTTGATTGATTTTTCTTGTTTATACCCTGTGTCCTCCCCCCCACACACGAGAGAGAGTGTGATTGATACTGGGTGCAAGGGGAGCGTGTGTGCCCTGCCATCCCGTTTTCATTCCAAAGTCTCCTGAAGCAGGTCGATCAACGATCGTCCCCCCATTTATCCTGGCCTGGTTGTTGCACAAACATGGAAGAAAGAATATCTTCGTCCATTTTTTTCTTTAAGGAATTTTTATTAATTTGCAAATTTGGTGCTTTCCATGCAATTCCAAGAACACAAACATACTTCCCTCATTTCCCTGCTGTTCATGCCTCACTCGCTCCCTTCTCACCATCAGACATAATTTTAACCCGCTCTATTTTCATAGGCTTAATTCGCCACTCATCAGAATATTCAACAAGTAAAAGGTAAAAAGACCACAGTTCCAGTTCCATTAGAGTGTAACCATGGACTAAACCAATCACATCTCAAAGTGACAATTTCATTCCTACGCATTTTGAGGAATATTCTATATTAGTTGCTGCATATGAGAAAAAAATATATGATATTTGTGTTAGATTCATTGACCACCAAGGAAAGAATATATCAGCCAAATAAGAATTTAAATGGCTTTGTTTCTGGGAACTGCGGTCACGGGATTCACTTCCCCTTGCAGCAGGATAAGCTGCCCAGGAAGGAGAAAGCCAGGAGGAGACGTGCAGGGGTTTTTAAACTCCCCTTGACACAGAAGCCAAATGGGGGTCACTTCGATCCTTATTTGGTGGGGGATATAGGTTTGTGCCCCTTATTGGTGCAACAGTGCTTCACAGCCTTAGGAGTACGCCAGAATTCCCCTGTCCTTTCTGGGTAGCTGCTGGGTAGTAAACTGAGAGAAAGACAAAGAGAGAGTGAGAGAATGTCTTTATCCACTAGTGCATTCCCCAAATGGCCACAATGGAATCTGAAGCCAGGAGCAGCAGGTTCAGGGTCCCAAGGCTTTGGGCCATCCTCCCCTGCTTTTCCAGGCCACAAGCAGGGAGCTGGTTCAGAAGTGAAATGGCCGGGACTCCAACCTGTACCCATATGGGATGCTGGCACTGCAGGTATAGGCTTAATCAACTATGCCACATCATCATCTGCCCCCTCCTCTTTTTTATAAACACCAGTGGCTTCCCATGATTTCATCTAAGATCAGCCACCCCCGCAGGGTCTGACCTCTGAATCCATTCACACAGGAATCTGGGGATTGAGATTCCAACACATGAATTTTGGGAGGACATGCTCGATTCACCAGACAGACAATGTGCACATTCGGTGTAGCCAGTGACTAAAGGGTTAAAGTTAACGAGCAACATTTGATAGCTACAGAAGTTAACAAGCAGTGCTCATTTGTGCCAGAGATAGCCAAAACAGAGCATCCCACCCTATCGAGAGCTCTTAGAAACCATTATAACATCACTGAGTACTAGCAGGAAAATGAACAAATGGCAAGGACAGGAGAGGGAATGAAAATGTCCCCTTCATGGAAAAGAAAAGTTAGAACTACACAGTAAACAATACTTTATACAGTGAGATATTATTTACTGTGTATCAAAAAGGCAAACATATATAAAAAATTTTATATCTGGGAGTTGACGCAAGAGTTCAATTGGCTAATCCTCCACCTCCAAGTGCTCATGTCCTGTATCAGCAGCAGTTATTGTCCTGGATGCTCTACTTCCCTTCCAGCTCCCAGCTTGTGGTCTGAGAAAGCAGCAGAGGATGGCTAAAGTCCTTGGGAGTCCTATTCCTGGCTCCTGGCATTGGATCAGCTCAGCTCTGGCCACTGCAGCCATTTGAGGAATGAACCAACAGATGGAAGATCTTTTTGTCTCTCCTCTGTGTGTTTCTAGTGGGGAAAAAAAAGAACTTTTTTGAAGATTTATTTTTATTGGAAAGCCAGATTTGCAGTTTTCCTTTTAAAAATCAAAGGTAGTACTGCTTCTACCTATAGGGAAAAAAGCCCTGATGAGCTGATATCCAGGGGTCTTCAGGACATCGGCTTGGCCAACTTGCTCAGCTCTGGACTCCATGGGCCATCTGCTGTGTCCCTTCCACAAGAGAGTCTTATTCCCTCATGACACTGTTTGCTCTGAGCGACAGCATAGCACGGTCCCCTCTATTAACGTTTCTGTCTCCCCTTCCTCCCTGTCATTCTTGCTTCTGCTTTGCTAGAAGGCCAGAAGGTCCCTCTTTGTGCCTGTGGCACTCCTGGGGTGGGGCTGTATTCTTCAGTCATCTGACTTCCGTTTCTGTTCCAGCAGTTCATGTGCTGGATTTGACTCTGTTTATAAGTGGGTTGCGTGTGTGTGCGTTGGCACAAGCACTTGGGAGACAGAACCTAGCACAGCACGCACACATGAGGGTATACAGGCTCTTACTGAGTGACTGTGGTAGGAGGGGCACCCTGGGAAATTGGCATCCAGTATCCAGTGGATGAAATGCAGCTTTGACAATTTTGTTGTTGACATGGCGAAGCTGCCTGTGATTAGGCGTGATGAAGGCAGAGCAGTGTGTGGGAGGACAATGACACCTCTGTGTTTGCATGTCTCCAAACAGTGGTTCATGCAATCATAGTTACAAATGTTTAAGAACAGACACACATGATGATAATTAACTGTCTTACTGCCTACACACATGCAACACACACTCAACACACTCAACACACCCTCCCCTACCATCATCCTGCACCATGGTACTACATATGTCACAATGCAGCATGGACATAAACTATCTCCATCCAAAGTCCAGTTTTCATTAGAGTTCCCGCTTGCTGTTAGCATTCGATATTTAACAAAAGTTTAATGTCATGCACCCACTCCTGGAGTCTTTTTTCAAAAATATTTATTTGTTTGTATTTACTTATTTATCTTAAAGATTTATTTATTTATTGGAAAGTCAGATGTACAGAGAGGAGGAGAGACAGAAAGAAAGATCTTCCTTCCAATGATTCACTCCCCAAGTGAGCGCAACGGCCGATGCTATGCCAATCCAAAGCCAGGATCCAGGAACTTCTTCCGGGTATCCCACAGGGGTGCAGGGTCCCAAGGCTTTGGGCCGTCCTCGACTGCTTTCCCAGGCCACAAGCAGGGAGCTGGATGGGAAGTGGAGCTGCCAGGATTAGAACTGGCATCCATATGGGATCCCGGGGCGTTCAAGGCGAGGACTTTAGCCGCTAGGCCACGCCGCCGGGCCCTGTTTGTATGTATTTATTTATGTAAAACTCAGAGTTACACAAAGAGAGAGGAAGAGGTAGAGAGAGAATGTGAATTCTTCCATATGCTGGTTCATTCCCCAGATGGCTGCAAGAGCTAGGGCTGAGCCAAGCTAAATCCTGGAGCCAGGAGCCTTATCCGGTTCTCCCGCTTGGGCGACAAGGGGACCAAGGACTTGGACCATCTGCTGCTGATTTCTCAGGCCATTAGCAGAGAGCTGGATTGGAGGCAGAGCAGCTGGGACTCAAACTGGAGCCAATATGTGATGCCAGCACTTAAAGTTGGAGGAGTAGCTTGTTGAGCGGTGGTGCCAGTGACATCAGAGTTTAGGTAGCTGCAGGATAGGCCTGTGTGGAGGTGCAGAAGGGTGGGCTGCTGCTTAGGAGGCTGTGACACCAAGTCGGAGGGAGGGTTTGAATGTCTCAGCTGCTCTGCTTCTGATCCAGTGCTCTGCTGATGCCCTGGGGAGGGAGCAGAGGACGGCCCAAGTGTGTGGGCCTCTGCACTCTCAAGGGAGACCTAGAAAAAACTCCAGGTTTCAGCCATATAGGGAGGGAACCAATGGATCTTTCTTTCTCTCTCTTCCCTTTCTATATCTCTACCTTTCAGATGAATAAATCTTCAATTAAATATTTAAAAAAGCAAAACTGTAGCCACAGCATTTATCAAGAGTTAAGAACACAATCCTGATGAATTTCATCAAATAGGTAAGGGAGAAATACTAATTCTCCACAGTTTTTTTTTTTCCTCCAGACAGTAAAAGCAGAAGGAACCTTGCTAATTTGTTCATTGGCATCACCCAACTGCTAAAAACAAAGGCATTAGAGGGAGAGAAAAGCAGGGACCCACATGGGAAGCTAAGAGCAGCAGGGACTGGAATACACACCCATGTGGGATGCCGGCACCAAAGGCAGCCGCTTCACCCACTATTCCATAACACCGGCCCCTGACTATGCCTTTAAGTGCAGTCTTGGGACCTACCAAGGTGAGGTCCTAGGCTTGTCCATTAGGCAGTGTCTGGGGCTGGCTGGGAGACATTGTTCTCTATGTAAAGTGGATAGTAGAGTCTCTGTTCTGATTAAAGATGCTTGTCTGTGTATTTCTGTTGCCATTACTTACCCATCACAGTGAGCCTGAGCGTGTGGTTTGTATCACGCAACCTCCATTCCAGCCTTAGGATCACATGTGTGTGCATGTATGTATGTGTGTGCGTATGAAAGGAGAGAGAGAGAGAAATTGAAGCTTGGTGTGGTAGCCAGGGCCTGGGAAACCCTGGCTATCCCCAGAGTGATGGTGGTATGGATGGGACTGGTTAAGATAAATCTATCTGCTGGTCACTCCCCAAAATGGTCCAGTGTAAGGGTCCAGTGTAGACCAGGTTGCAAGGGTTGCAAGGGTCCAGTGTAGGCCAGGTTGAAGCCAGGAGCCTGATGGGGGGCAGGTACCCAAGTAACTGAGCTATCTATCATCTATGGCTTTTCCAGGCACATTAGTAGGAAGCTGGATGAGAAGTAGTGCAGCTGGGGTTTCAACCAGGGTTCATATGGGGTCCCTACATCATGGGCAATGGCTTAACATGCTGTGCCACAATTCTGGCATATCTCTCAATAAATTCTGCTCTCATTCCTACATGGCTTTTACTTCCTGTCTCATGCAGGAGCAAGCCCTCGGCAAACAAACCAGGACATGTAACAGAAGCCCGGGCTCGGGGCAGGTCGCAGTCGCTGGACTTCTCAACAGTAACTCAGCTATAGGACGGGATCTCCGTGCTCCACATCTACCCCAGCATTTACCAGAAAATCAGGAATGGAGTCCATGTTGCTCACACACACACACACACACACACACACACACACGCCAGAGACTTTTTCTAAACAGACTTTAATCAAAGGTAAACAAGGGTGTTTTGTGTGCAAAAGCGTGTTGGTTCACTTAGAGCTGCCAGCCCTGCGCGGGCCATGGTGCTGTGCTCGGAGGATGTCTGCGGGAGCTGGCATCAGCTCGCATCCACCTCTTCCTAGCGCTGCGGACTCTGGGCAAGGTCCATTCTCCTCAGAGGATCCTGAATCAGCATCTGTCATTTCTCCGTCTCCGGATGTCCCCGGAGCCAGGGCTCCGAAAGTGCGAGGCGAGGGCCGGAGTGGGTCTGAGGTATCCATAGGAGGCAGGAGACTTCAACTTAGTATGCCCAGAGGGTAGGAGGACTTAACCCTCGGGCAGGCACAGAAGCGCACGACCACAAACGTCCCGGCTGCCAGCAGCAGGACCGCGCCCAGGGCCCCAAACAGGATCCCGAAGAAAGCGCCTAGTCGGATGCTCAGGTGCTCACAGCGCTCACCCCAGGGCGAGTAGATGGAGAAGGGCACACAGCTGGGAACACAGGAGGGCGAGAGAAAAAGCGTAGGGTCAGGAGCAATGAGACAGGGACACGGTCTCCCTGGTCCTCCTCCAGATCGCACTGCAGGTGCAGGCTTTTCAAACGCCCGTGCGCCTGTGCACTTGGCGTCAATTCCCTCCGGGAACCACAGCGATGCAGTCTGGACAGGCTTCGGGTGGGCAGGCGCTGCCTGGGCCCTGACTTTGTCCCAACCCTCCCTAGGCTGGGCTCTGCTCAGGCTCCTCCCATTTCCCCTCCGTCCGGGCCCTGCAAGTGCAGTTGTGGGCGCAGGGCGCACACAAAGGGTGGCGGGAAGCTGAGGTGGTGTTGAGACTCCCTACCAGAGCCCCTGGGATGGTTCACGGACTCCAGGGGGCTTCCTCTACTGAGTTCTCTCATGGCGGAGCAGCCAGCAATGGCTCTGCATTGGGGATTGCCTTCCTCCATGTACATTTTTGCAGAAGCCAAGCCGGGTGCTATAGTGATTTGGAAATCAGAGCCTGCTGGTAACTTACTGGCATCTGCAAAAGCGGCAGGGTCCTCAAGTTCTGAGTGGTCCTAACAGCTCCTTAAGGCTCTTGGGTTTCTGGGTTAATCCAGCAGACACTCACCTTTCTCTTCCATGGTCCCTCCTTCTCTGAGCCCAGTTCCCTCCACTTAGTCAGGAGTCCCATATCCAGGAGTCCTCCTCGCATTCCCATATCCTTCCCTTCCCGTCTTGCTTGGCTTGGATTTCCCCAGCCCCATCTTCTATTCCCCTCCCCGCTCTCGGGGCAGCCAGAGGCTACCTGCAGCGGGGCCCATCCGGCAGGTGCTGGCATCGGCCTCCATGATCACAGTAGCCCTCAGTGCACGGGGACACACAGGTGAAGCCGCTCTGGGGTGTGTAGGCAAGGCGATAGCCCTGGTAGCCGCTGCATCGGAGGTAGGTCTCCAGTGTGCTCACGTTCACTGTCAAGGGTAGAGCACAGGTTGACGTGGAGAGTCATTGATTAACGCTAACTCAATACCTTTTCCATCAAGAGCTCCACTCCAGGTGTTAACTTGAGACATAAGGTACAATGGGAGTTAGGCAAGTTACTGGGACACTCTTACCCAAGCTAGACCAGTTCTGATGGGATAGAAAATGTACAGGTGAATATCATGTATTGAAGCTGGCCAGAGTGGTATTGAAATTCAAACTACTACTTCTAATGAGTGTGGTCTAGGAGAAATGTCTGCCCCCTCCCAGCCTTAGCTTATTTGTTTATTTATTTTATCGGAAAGGTAGATTTACAGAGAAAAGCAGAGATAGAGGAGCCTTCCATTTGCTGGTTCACACCCCAAATGACTGCACAGGCAAGAGCTGAGTTGAATCCAGGAGCCAGGAGCCTCCTCCAAGTCTTCTACATGGGCACAGGGTCCCAAGACTCTCCCAGGCCACAAGCAAGAAGCTGGGTGGGAATTAGAGCAGCCAGGACACTAATGCCCATATAAGGTACTGCTACTTACCGGAGGAGAATTAGCCAATTGAACCATAGTCCTGGCTCAAGTTTACTTATTTTAAAAGAAAGGAAAGGAGTGATAATGCTGACCTCACTGTGAGATCTGCAACCGGATTCAGATGCCTCTTCCTCTGCTCCAATGTCCCCCACTACAGTAAACTACAGTTGAGGGGGACTCACATGCTGTGATATCTTGCACGTCTCCCCTTGAAATGGGGTAGAAGACCACGTTATTCCTGGGCCCCGTGTTCCGCTTCCACCGCCCCCTCTGGAGCTGGGGGAGGAAGGCCTGCACCACAGCATCCTGCAGCTGGTGGTTGAGGAAGTCGATGACCGGTCCCCGTACGTGGTACTGGAACTGTGAGATGACCTTCCAGTGCTGAACCCGGCTGCCTGAGCCAACTCCTGGGCCAGAGCTGTGGGTGAGAGGATAGCCAGGGGGCTGAGGGCGTGTGGGGGAGAAGGGCCCTGGCAGTGGGACAGGTGGGGGGCAGTCTAGCTTACACTGGTTCCACAAGGCTGTTCCAGAGGAAGGCCCGTACCTCCAGCATCCCTAGTCTGTACGCCACCTGCAGGGGACCATGAGGGATGATGGGAGGGTGGAAGGGTAGTGAGCTCCCACCCACAAGAGGAGCCTCTCCCACTTCAATTCATGTGTCCATTCCTGTCTGTCTTTGCCTTTGAGTTTTGGGCTCCAGATTCCTCCAGAACATTGCTCACATGCCCTCTACACCCTGGCACCCCAATGTAGCTCACTGACAGGTTCTGGTCCTTGGTTAATATCTGTGAGTAAGTGAAGACTGTAGTATCCCCCACTCCTCTGCCTCGTGTTACAGCCCCTGCCTGGCCTCTGATCCCTCCCTAAGAGGAAGGTTCATGTTGATGGACCAAGAGGACGGACAAGTGTTGAGAACAGTGTTGGGAATGGTGTGCTTGCCAGCAGTTAGTCAGGACAGGACTGTACTGGCAGAGCTCAGAGTCTTGTTCTGTAGACAGATGCCAGCAGATTCTACTATGGGGCATGCAGAGTGCTGGAGTGACAGCAGTGATCACGTGAGAACAGCTTTGGGGCACAGGCTGTATTTCAGGTGCGTGCTTAGGGCTTTTATGGATGTTATCATTTAAACCTTCACAGGGATAATAACAATACCTGTGTCTATTTTTTTTTTAAACCAATGAGCTGCTAAGTACTTTGTCAAATATACCTGTTCTCATAGGTGGTAAGGCAGGAATTTGGATACTGCTGTGTACAGCATTATAGAGCCTCAACTGCTCAGAAACTGTATCTGACTGCGGGATGGACAAGTTACATGGGGGTAAGATGAGGGAGCCCATTTCTTCTGGGAAGGTTGTTTCTTCCATTTCACACTCCAGAGGTTGAGGTCTAGGGTTGAAGATGCTCAGAGGGAGAGGATGGGGGCCTTGGCCTTCCTGGCTTCCTAACTTTCCAGGCACCTCTGGCCATGTGGGACATACGAGTGATGGCCCAGCCCTCATTGGAACCTGCCCAGATCTGTCTCCATCCAGAGCCCAGCGAGTGCTGCACTGACCGAGGCGTTGACCTCTGAGATGGAGGCATTTTCGTCTTCCATGAGTGAAAGCTGGATGACTCTTAAGGGAAGCTCTGTGGACAGGAGAAGTAAAACCATCATCCTTCATGGCTCACCTAGCCTTACCTGCCAGCCCATGCACCTGCTCCCTTCCACAGTGAGACTGGCCACTGGAGGGCTTGCAGGGTCTTACCCTGGTGCTCATCCCATAATGGTTAGGGCTTCTGTGATTCTATTTGCACTGAGCCATGAGGCCCCTACTTCAGTTATACCTCAGCCAACTGCTCAGGCCTGTGGTTCATGCTGTGACAATTGCCCTGCCCCATCCCTCCAGCCTGTGAATTACCCCCACCTGGATGAAGTGTGGGGTTCTGCCCACATGGGTTTGGAGCAGCTTTAGTCCTGGATCCCGGAGTCTCCCCCAAAGGTGAGAGCAGCATGGAGGCGGGGATGGCTATGTCATACCTTGAAGGGTACTTGGAGTAAAACTGTTCCCAGCCAGGAAGCAGCGGGAGTCGGTGAAGGCTGGGGGACAGGTGCAGGCTGGCTGGCAACTCAGGGTGATATGGCAGTGGCCCTGGTTGTGGCAGTAGTTTACAGGGCAGGAGTGGTTCTGGCAGAGGTCAGAGTTCTCCAGGGCTGCAGAGGGGGCAGTGTGGTTAGCAGCACCATACCCACACTGTAGCCAGCGGGGCAAGCTGCTCCTGAGATGGGCTTGGGACCCTTCTCTTAGTGCCTCCTCAGTCTCTATTCTGCTGGTGGGCCACTCTGAATCCTAAACTACCCTCTCACCTATTCCAGGCATTTCCCTGCCAGGCAACCCTTTCCCTCTTCGGGGGGAGGGAAGCTGCCCATTCCCATCTGCAGAGGGAGTGGAAAAGTGTCCACACTGATTTGCTCCCCTCTTTCGATCCTCCAGTCCCTCCTCCTTCCCCTCTCCTTTCTGTCTCTGCCAGGCGGTACCTTGACCCGCTGTGGCCCTGCTCAAAAGGCAAAAGCATTCTCCTGATTTTATATGTGACAGCTGCCCTGTCTCTGGGACTGTAGTGGGTCATAGTGGAGAGGCTAAAGGGCCAGGGGAGAGCTAGAAGGGGAAAAGGAGGTGTCTCTGCTGCCAGGGCTTCTTGGAGCTCTAAGGCCATACCTGGCAGGAGCAGAGGGACCCTGGCCCTTTTGTCTTGGAAGGCCCCCAGGAGCTCAAGGGCCCCAGCTTGTCACTTGGTCCCCTGGCCACTTCCAACACTCATCAACCTCTTGCCCTGAGGTTTTTCCCATTAATGCCTTGGGGCTGCACTGTCCTGTCCCCTCCCCCATGCTGGGCAGCCTCTCCCCATCTCCCCACTTTTTGGAAAAGGGGGAGAACAGGTTTGCCTTTGGCTGTCCACGGTGCCAGCACCTGCTCCCGCTGGGAACCCTGTTTCCAGCTCACCTGCGCAGTGCCGCCCGTCCCCAGTCATGTTCACAGGACAGGCCTCGCAGCCCTTTCCAGAAATGCAGCTCACACCGGGGAAACATGGCTCCATGCAGGGATCCCCAGTGCGTTCACAGGAGGTGCCAAAGGTGTCTCCATCACACCTGCAGTCAGCCACCTGGGACGATGAGGTGCCAATCACTGGGCAGCCCAGAGGTGAACCATTAGGGGCTCCCGGGTGTTTCTGTATCAATGTCTCTGGTTGGAGAACCCATGGACCCTGAGTCTCTGTCTTAGTTCTGCCAGCATCTGTTTGGCATCACCTTGTCAGACCTGGAAGCTGGCAGGTCATTTTCTATTCTTCCCTGGCATGTGCTCTATCCTGACCCCTGCCTGTCCCTGCACTGGGGTTCAGCTTCTTCCCTCTTTTGTGGTATCTGCTTGCCCAAAGTCCTTCCTAGAGTAAGACAGGAAGAGAAGGTAAGAAGGGGAAAGGGAGAAACTGTAGGAGGCAGAGAGGGAGAGAAAAGTGCAGAGGAGGCAAGAGGTAGACCAAGTATTTTGGTCAGAAACCTGAATGCTGAAGGCATTTTTCTGAACTGGAGACAGAGAAAGCAAGGAGGAACGCAAAGGAGTCCTAGGACCGCAGGACAGAGGGACCCATGCCTCTTTCCAACACTGTGATGATGAAGCCCAAAGAGAAAAGGTTACACACGCTCTGGCTGTCAGCAGCACAAGCCACTGCTGGGGCTGAGCTGAGACCAGGAGCAGCCTGGAGTCTCCCAGGGCTGATGGTGGTTGGAGCTGTGATGGGAACTTGAGCAGACTCACGCCCAGGAACCGCACAGACACCTTCCCACCCCCCAGCTCATGCTCTTCACTGAGTTCACTCCATGTGTGGCAACTGGGGAAGTCCTGGAGAGCTGTGAGAAGGGCTGGAACAGTTAGCTACTGCCAGCCTGGCAGAATGGGAGGTGGGATGTAAAAGTTCAATTGAATGAAACAAAGAAGAATGTTCTGTTTCCTGCCACGTGATTTCACAGCCTGAGAATGCTACTTGCTCCCTCACCTCCCAGCAGGTGGCTCACTGGGGTGAACTACAGCATGCCTCGGATGTCTACACCCCACCCCCCATGCGCTCAGTCTTACCTGCAGGGAGGAATTGCCCACCCAAGTGGTCTGGTTGTACAGACACTGGCTCTCTGCACTGCACACGCAAACCACGGTCTTAGGCTGGAGGGAAGATGACAGGCCTGTGGAGGAGCTTCGTGCTAGGATCTCCAGAGTGAAAGGTTCCAGCGTCTTGGGTGTCCACTGCAGTGTCCCATTCTCTGCCCAGGGGTGGGGTGGGATGGGATGGAAGGAGATGAGCGAAACGCCTCTGCTGGGGTGGGGGAGGGAGCAGAGCTATCCTGGCATCCCACACCCCCACCTTGCTTAGCTCATCAGGTGCATTCCCTCATCCACTGGGGGACGCCTCTATGAAAGACAGAAGGTCATTGCTAGAAATGAGGATCCTGGGTAGGCAAGCGAACAAGTGCCAGGAAGTTGTGCAGGGTGTAGAGAAACAAAATCACCTAAAACTTGACTCTGGCCTCAATCTCTACCAATACTCACCCACTCACCCTACCCCGCCCCCAGCTGCCATAGGTTCTGACCAAAGAGCTGGAAGTCGGTGCAGTTGCTTCTGAGAGAGAAGGTGACATTCTCTGAGTCACTGGTGTACTGAATCCACGTGGTCTTTCCCTTGTAGGCTTCAATCGTGTGATTACTCTTGATGGAGGGTGGGAACTGATCTGAAAGGCAAAGAGGGCTGGCCACACTGCTGCCTTTTCAACCTCCTCTCTCTCCGTCAACCACAACTTGTGTTCCCCACCCCCCGCCCCGCCTTTGGAAGCAGGAAGTACCCCGTGCACCTGCTCTCAGACCTGCAGAGTGGGACTGTGCTGTTCCCCCAGCCAAAATCTGAGCCTCTCTCTACCTCCTGTTCTTACAGGGCTCCTTCCTAGTTCTCTTCCGAACAGGCGTGCTAGGTGGATGTGGCATGAACTGACACAGAGAACAGAAACTGGCAGACCATCACAAAGCTCTACCTTTGGGGAAAGGGCTACTATCCAAATGGACCTTGCTTCTACCTGAAAAGAGTGAGCAGGTAGAACCAATCAAGGGCCTCTGATTAAGGGAGCTCCTGCTATTTGCATCTCATTATTCCTTCATCCATTCAGCCGGTCAGTGATTTCAAAAGGATTTACTGAGCCCTGAATAAGTGCCTGGCACCATTGTAAGACACAGCAAAGAATAGGCAATAAAAACTGTATGTGTGAAAATGACAAAATGTGACAGAGCCAGAACGGTAAACAGGAAGTGTGGGTGGATGTGAAGTTTTACACAGGGTGGTCCTCTGGGAGGGCAGTAAAGACCCCACATATGAAGCCTGCGTCCCATATCACAGAGCCTGCATTCAAGGTGCTACTGATTGAGCATTCCCCGAATGTGCGCCCTGAGACATAGCGGGTGCTGGTCCAAGCACCTGGAACCCCTGCCACCCACACGAAGACACAAATCGAGTTCCTCCTGACTCCAGCTTCAGCCTGGCCTAGCCCCGATTGTTGTAAGCATTTGTGGAGTAAGCAGCACACGGAAGACCTCTTGCTCTATATCTCTCTGTCTCTGTGGCTCCTTCTCTGTTGCCTCTCAATCTTTCAATTAAGTGAAACTTGGAGTTAGTTTAAAGGTAAAAGAGGACTCACTGAGAGGTAGCATTGGAGAAAAGCAGGTGAAGGAGCTGTGGCTGATTGGGGGAGAGGGTATTCCAGGTGAGGGAACGGAATGTGCAAAATGTGGGAGCTGGGAGTAAGGCCACCCACCACATGTATGAAAATTACACGGAGAAGCCAGAGAGGTCGCAGGAGGAAGCAGGTGGGAATGAGCCAAGGAGTCACTGGGGGACAGGGAACATGGGCTCATGTGCACACCCTGCCCCTGGGAAGGCCTCCTCGGCCTTAGCACTCACTTTGGGTGGCATTCATCTCCTGGTATGTTCTAAAGAGCGTCCTGGTATGGAGTCCGGCGCTGGCATCTTGCATGGCCAAGGCATCATACATGCATTGTCTGTCTCCATTGCACCCAGAGATCAAAGCCCCATCACCAGAGCTGTTCGCCAGCAGTTGTGAGAAGAAGATGGGGGTGAAGGAGGGGGGCAACTGGTCGTCCCTCTCACCAAGGAGGTCTGTCCCGTTTAGTTTCCCTGTAACAGCCGGGGAGTGCAAAAGCAGGAGTTGAACTTCCAGCTGATTTCTGCTGTGTCTCCACCTACCCCCACCCACCTCACCCTCATTTTTCTGTGGTTCGGGGCTAGGGAGGGCAATGTGGCAGGACAGAAGGTCTGAACATCTCGGACCTTGGTGTGAGGGCCACCTGCTGCCCGGTCCACTTCCAGGTGGGAGGGCATAGAGTGGACAAATGGAAGGGGGGCGTTTGCATCCCATGTCTCTTTCTGGCCTTCAGCCTGGCCTGGACAAAGGAGGGAGCACTGCACCTGGCTCCCATGCCCCACAGCCTGGACTCACAGGTCATCCCGAAATGGAATAGCTCCTCCTCGGTGCTCCCGCTCGCCAGGAAGGAGCCATTGGGCATCCTGAAGTCATCATTGGGGTTGTTGTTCCAGAGTCCTGCAGGACACAGATGAGGCTGACAGCCCATGGAGTGGCGTGCACAGCAGGTGCCTCTCTTTAGGGTTCAGGCCTCTGGGATAGGGGAGGGGACCACACTGTACACTCCAGCTCTGGCAAGGGAGGAGAAGGAAAGGAAGAAGGGAATGCAGGAAGACAGGAGGGATGGAAGAAAGGGAGGGGAAAGGAGGGTGAGGTAGCTGGCCCAGAGCTCGTCCTTAGCACGGCAGGGGAAGGACAGGAAGTGAACCTCAGAGGTGACTGAAGAAGCCCCCTACTCCCCCACCCTAACTCCATGCAGCCCCTATTGCTTACCTAGGAGGCCCTCTGTGAGGCCCTGGTACTCCTCAGGGAGGCTGGAGGAGGCATGTAGGATTTGGGAGAGGGCCATTACTGTGATGGCCACTGTGCCATCGAAGCTGGCTGAGACCTGGGTGCCATTGCGGGTCAGCAGCAGCCCACTGCTGTTGTAAGTCTCCCGGCCTGTGGAAGGGCAGGCAGGTGAGGAAGCAGCCGGGTCAGCACCCTGTGGCCACCAGGCCCTACTGCTGCCATCCTCAGGAGGCACAGAGGAGACACCAAGGGTAGCCCTGGAATGTCCTGAGAGGCCCTCCCGTCTACCAATCCCACAAACCACTTTCTTCTCCCTGGGGATGGAGCTGGAAGTTAAAAAAAACAGAGGGCCCTTGCACTGGATGAAGGAAGGAAGCGGTGTTCCTGTGGCAGGCCCAGCCTTTTGAACCCAAAGGGGTGGTGATCTGCTTTGCTGCATGGCGTTGCCTCCGTGTCCCCACACTGCTCCTGGAGCACAGGGCACCCCGCGAGCTCTGACCGGGGAAAGGAGGAGAGACCGGCTGGTGGCTCTCTCCAGCCTACCTTCTGCATCTTGGGTCTCAAAAGTCACAGTCTGGTTATTGTGTAGAACTCGGATTGTGTCATTGGGCCCCAGGAACCACTGAACCTGGAAGGAAACAGGAGGAGTCCCATGCTGACCAACAGAGGGAAGCAGAGAGCAAGGAAGGAGGCTCCAGAGAGCTTCTTTGGACTGACACCTCAGCCGTGGAGGCAGAGGAAGGTTGGCAGTGAGGTTGTGCCTGCTGACATCTGCCGAGGGCTCTGTGAAGTGCCCTGGATGCTGGGCACATCTCCTGGATGATCTCATGGCAGCCATGGGGGAGAGGTGTGGTGGAGCTACTCTCCCTACTTCACCAAGCAGTGCCTTAGGAGTCCATATAGGGTGAATGGAGCAGCCAGGCCCTGAGATTGACTCTGGGACCACTCTCCTGCCTGGCTGTGTCCTCCTGTTCTCCTGTCCTCCTGCCTTCCTTTCTGAGCTCTCCCTCATGGGTGTCTGTTTGCAGCTGGAGGTCCCTGAATGAAGGGCATGCTGGGAGATGGGGGTAGAACACAGGGGTACCTGGGCACCCTTCCCTCACCGTGATGGGGGCCAGGCTACTGGAGTTGTACTGAGCTGCAAAGGCGATGAAGTTGGTGGCCGGGACTGAGCCAGTCTGGGCAGTGCGGCCCTGCAGCTCAAAGGAGGAATTCCCGTCCCAGGCGCGCAGCAGCAGGAAGTCCCCCAGCCCGTTGAAGGTGTAATTGGCACCATCCAAGGTGGTGATGTGGGGGTCCCCAAACATCCAACCTGAGAAAAAAGTGGCATCCCATGAGCAAGCTGGGAATAGGGCCTGAGCTTGCCCAGGTTCCCAGGCAGGGCATCTGCCCAGGAAGATTTGAGTCTGGGGAAGGACTGGGAGCAGAGAATTCCTTGCCCTTGGGGATTCCCATCTTCCCCCTATCTCCCAATGCCATGTGCAAAGCCGCACAGCCCCACACAGAATCATCCCCGAGGTCTCTCGTGGCTTGTAGGAAACTGGGTCCTCCTGGCCCAGGCTTAGTGACCATGAGGACAGAGGCAAATCCTGCCCTGGGAAGCTCCACCTTAGCCCTGAGCCTCACCAGGCCGTGGGGGCCTGTATCCGGCACAGCTGACTGGGGGCCGCCTTTGCTGGTACATAGAGCAGAAGAAGGGCTTGTCATTCCAGTGGCAGCACCAGTTCTGCGGCTCCAGCTCTTGCTCTGTGGAGAAGTGCAACATGTTGAGGGATGCAAGTCTCTAGGAGGAGGTGTTGGGAGGGGGAACAGGAGCAGGGGAGCATGGCTGTGGCACCTGCCCAAAGTTGTCACAATCCCACCCTGCTCAATGAGCTTCCACGACAGCTGGTCTGGGGACTCTGCTGCTTGCAGGCATGTTGGGGGTCATTGTGAGTTAGGGCACACTGTGGGAGGGCCTGGCTGATGGCCAAGGATCATGGAGAATGGCAAAGACATGACAGCAAGTGTGGGAGAACCCAGACCTTTGCCCCTAACCCTCTAATCCCTGGGTTCTTTAGCTCATTCCCATGGAGGGTTTCTGTGGGTGGCTGCCTTACAACATTGCCCCACACAGCCTGTCAATATGGAACCAGAGGGCTGGACCAGACTAGGTTCTCTCCTTACCCAGAAGGAGAGAATCCAGACTGGGGCTATAGGATCAAGAAGAGAGGAGGCAAGAGCCCCTTAGCATCAAACCCTAGAGGCCAGCAGGTTGGAATGCTGGGAGTTTCCTAATTTTAAAATCAGGGATGGGAGCCACGGAGCAATGAAGAAATGAGGCTTTGCTGGGGCCCCATGGTGAGGTGGGCTGGGCTGGGCTGGGCAGAGCCTTGAGTTCATGAGCAGGGGGTTATGGTACCTCTTTATGGACACACATACCCAAGTGCGAAGGGCTGTGCACTCTCCAGCCTTCACGAAGCTCTCCCCACGACCCATAGCTGCAGCAAACACCTCCTTGCCAGGAAGAGAAGCGGCACAATTTCCTGCTGCCACCAAGGTCCCACCAGTCTGCAACAAAGCCAGACCCTGAATCATGTCCAGGCTGTGGAATGCCTGGGGTGGGACAGAGGGGGTGTTTCTGGGAGAGAGGCTGGGGTTGCCTCAGAAAGGACAGGTGAAACATGGGCAGAAGGGTTGGTAGGTAGGCTTGAAGGGGACAGGAAAGTGTCACCTGAGCTCACAGGCCGGAATCGTAAGTCCCATCGTCCCTGCTGCCAGGTACAAGGGCAGGCGATCTGGTTCCAGTTCCAACTTGGCCACTGAGGCTGGCTCTCCAGCCACTGCTGGCACTTGAGACGGTTGTTGGGTATCGGCTCCCTATGGAGCCTGTAAATCTGCAGTCCCCTGAGGCCTGCGGGGAGCAAAAGAAGGGATTGTCCCAGAGCCTGGGGCCTCAGGTCTGCTTTAGCTTTAGAGCTAACCACAAATTCTAGATGTATCTGCCACATGCCACGCCTCACCTCTCTGGACAGCTCCAAGGTGGAACTGGCAATGATTCCTCCTCCAAGCCCCTGTGATGTGAGCCCCTGAGCCTTCAAACCTGAGATTTTAGGGCAAAACCGATGGACAAGAACTGGGCAGTGAGGACTCACCCCTAAGAACCAACTCTGATTCTGGCCCACCAGACACCTTCCAGTTCCCCCAATCATCTCCTTATGCATCTCGAGTCTCAGTTAGGGACACCAGCTCCCGTCCAGTCACATGGTCAGATACTGGGCCCTGCTCTCCCTTCCCCTAGTGCAGAGAAGTTGGTGCAGCGGCCTATTCTAATGCCACAAAGCCAAGGAACCCACTCTGTGCCCAGCCTCTGGAGAAGCAGAGTAACTGGGAGGAGAAAGCCTGATGAGTGTTGACTGTGAGACTAACTCCTGGTGAGTGCCACACTGCCCATCCCAGCTGCATGGGTGTGAGTGGGGCTTAAGAGCCTGAGAAGACATGAGACATACAGAACATTTTGACTCTAACCTCATATAAATGAAGACCTGAGCACTATAGCCACAACTTCAGATTTAAGATTTCCAGAATAATCATTGTTTATGATCATCTGCTTATGGCCTGGTGTCAGAAGATCAGATATACATCAGATATTCTTCCTCAACACATGCATATGCACACGCTTAGGTAAACACATGCAGGCACCCACAAAACGCATGCCCACACACTCTCGTGGTGCACCTCCCTAGTCACAAGGAGATGCATCTGGGGAGAAGGACTCTGGTCTGACAGGAGGCTGTCCTCTGTAAGCTGGCACCATGCTCTGACTTAGCTCATGCTTCTGTTACCAAGAACTTCTGTCGCAAAGCAAACAGAACCTCATTTGTGCAACACAATTCAATGGCTGATGTCCAAGCCCACATGCCCTTTCTTCTTTCACACTTTGAAAATTATAATTCTTTCCCCGTTAGGGTCTCCAGACATTATGCTGTGTCATGGATAAGCTACCACAATTTGCCTTTTTCCAAGACCAAAAGCTTTTTGAGAGCACGTGCAGTTGACTTTCTTCTATTTCTCATTGTTTCTCGCTGCGAGCACAGTGTTCAGCATACAACAGGGGCTCAGTTGGTGATGACTGGATGAGTATTAGACCTCTGGAATACCTCTTAGGGGTTATTCCTTTGAGGACTCTGGGTCCTCTTTCCAGCTGTAGGACAGGACACCAGAGTGTTGTCCCAACAGCCTGTTCCTAACCCCACCTCCCACAATACCCTGCTCTCACTTATGGGATCAGAGTCTCCACTGAGTGCTCCAGGACTTGGCTCATCCAAAGAAGGGCACAGAGCCTCCTGGAGACCCTCCTGTGTCTAATGCATGGAAGGTCCCATCTGCTCCCCACAAGTATAAATGTAGGAGGCCAGAGCCTACGAGGCGCAGGGGGCGTGGAGAGTGGGTAGCAAGCTGCCCTCAGGACTGCCGTGGTGTGCAGAGTAGAGGGAAGGGAGCCCCAGGGAGAAGTACCATCAGGGAATGCCCTTACCTAATCTGGAATTCAGCAACTGGTCCGGACGATACCTCTCCCACACTGGCCGGAATGTCAGTGGACTGTTGGCAAAATACCCGTCTCCACTGCAGGCAAAGGAGGGGCTCTCAGAAGTCGGCATACACAGGCCCGAGAGCAAACTCTCAGTGAGAAGTTCATTTGTTCACTTAGCTGGTTAATCAGCCCATCAACCCTCACATGCCTGGCTGGTCAGCCGCTGGCCAGTCAACAGGTCAGTCGTTCAACCTGAACCACCCAATGTGTTCTCTGAGCAGGACTGCAGGGAACTGGCAGGCCCACTTGGCCATGAGAGGGGCATGAAAACAGGGTTCCTTCTTGTTTGTTTCCATCAACCCAGGAAATGGAGTGAGATACAGCAGAGTGGATGGTACACTATGAGGGTGGGGAGCATCTCTGCTCTGAGCCAGCAACGCTTGCACCTGTGGATTCCAGCTGTTGTAAATTTGGTGACCACAGGCAAGTTGCTTATGCTCTCTGGCTCTTTGTGTTTGCACAAGTGTCAGAGGGATTACAATTAGGGCAGGTGTTTGCACAATGGCTAAGGCACCATGTGGGACACTTGCATCCCAAATCAGAGTGCCTGGATTAGAGTTCCCACCCTGCTTGTGAGCCACCTTCCTGCTAATGAGCACCATAGGAGGCAGTGGATGACAGCACATGGGTTCCTGCCACTCATGTGGGAGACCTGGGTGGAGTTGCTGGGCTCCTGGCTTTGACCTGTTCCAACCCTGACTGCTCTGGGTTCTTGGGGAGTGAACCAATGGATGGATTCTCTCTCTCTCTTTCTCCCTCTCTCCTTGTCTCATTTGTCTTTCAAATATCTAAAATTTTTTCCCCTAAAAGGAATTGCATTAGCATCCATCTCACAACACTGAAAGAATTCAGTTGCAGTAACATTTGCAAATCTGTCAGCATGGAGTGAAGACTGGAAACAAGGGCACAGACACCTCCACCTGCACAGCCACCACCACCATCCTCAGTGTTGGCTGCAGGAGGACAGCAGGGAGTGATCGCCTCTAGCTTGGGTCCACAGAGCAGAGGTTCCTGGTCTCCTGTCTGACACAGGCTAGATGGCACCCAACATGCATTATGCCTCCCTTGGGCATGCTCATGTTGGTGTAAAATTTCCAGCTGATTGGGTAATTCCACTCCTTTCTTTTTCATCTGGCACATCCAGAAACAAGTAAAAGCACTATAATTGGAATGATAACCTGCATGTCTGCCAGGACAAGCAGAAACAATGTGTACCAATTACCAACAGCAAATGACATGTGACCATCACAACTGTCAGACACTAAGATGCCTCATGTGCAAGAATCCCCATTCAACCATCCACAGTTCCTGCCTCCTGTCACGTGCTCTGACTAGGTGAAGAATTCCCAGGTCAGAAAGGCAGACTCCAGCCTCCTATGTCTCAGTCCAAATCCTTGCTTTGCCACTTCCTCTATGACCTTAGGCAAGTGACTGATCATTTGTAGTCCAACTCGCTTATCTGTAGAGTAGGGTAGTAAATGGTGTCTACTGTTACTATCGTTTGTTACTATTCCAATACTTGAGAAATCAAGACAGGCTAGCCAATGTCAGTGGAAATCAGGAAAATCAAATCTCTGGGAAGACAGTGAAAGGACAGGTGGAAATTTTTGAATTGGAAAAAGTCGGGTATGAGGCTCCACCAGAATTGGAGTCAGCATGTGTCCGAAGCATCAGCAAGGAGGAGCCTTGCCCTGTCCTAGACATGAGAATGTTGGTAGAGCAAACCCCGCTCTGCACCCTCTGGGTCACCAGCTCAGCACAGCCAATCACTCCCATCTTACCTGGAGAAGCCCATGAGGACCGAGTTGCCTGGGCGCTGGGCCACATCCCATTGCATCCCACCACTCTGGTAAAGAAACAGGGCATAGGACCTGCTCCCATCGGTGGAGAGAACGGCCTGGTAGGTGCTCGTCTGTTGTTGGTGGGAGGCAAACAGAAGGAATTCCATGTGAGAGATGAGGTCTCCTCCCTAATTCCCCCATCCTTGCCCTGACACACACACATCAGGGCAATGACATGGGCTCAAAATGTTGGCAAATGCAGGATTGGTTAGGGCAGCTTTTTGATGAGAATCAAGCACTTAACCTTGAAAGATTGGCCTGCTGAGACTTGCTAGCTGGGAGGGGAGATAAAGGAGTATGGGTTAGAGTATAGTTAGAAGATGGTTTATGAGCAAAGCTACATAATCCTGGGATATTAAACCGGATATCAGAGCACTGGGGGAGACTTAATTAACTTCCAAAGGAATATTTAAGGACACTGAGTACTTATTTTCTGCGCCTGAACAATGTGGAGAGCTGCAACCAGGCAGGGGTTTGGGGGAGGGTTGGTTTTCTAAAGACACAGGCCTTTGTAAAGTAGCTACTGACTTCACTGAGTGAATGAATCAGTGGGTTAACTGAAGACCTCACTTCATGGCTAGGTGACCTTAAACAAGTTGCTTCTTTCTCTAACAATTGTCTTCCTCATCCTGAATGTAAATAAGCACATGGGGTTGAGCCACGTGTAACTGCCAACAGTCTGACACACAAAATGCCATTCCCAGTTCCAATCTCACAATATCTGGTTTTTGGGGGGTAGTTTTGAGATCATGCAAGTTCAGGGAACTTAAAAAAATGTAGACAAATGGAATTAAAAGGTATATTTACTTTGGTGTCAAGGATTTTTTAAATCCATGCATGCTTTTTTTAATAATACACACTTTTTTCATAGGCATGGATTTCAACTTTTTTTTTCTTTTGCAACAAAATCAACATACCTTTTAATTCTACTTCCCTGTGTAAAGGCCCAGGGCAGGCCCAGCTCACAATGAGTGCCCAGCTATGGAGGGCGTGGCTGGGGCTGCTAGAGTCGGGGCTGCTTCCCTGAGTCAGAGAGAAGCTCCTGCCTAGGATTCCAGGATGACTGGAAGGAGATGGCTCACAGGGAGCTGCCCTGGGTCCACAAACCCCAGAGGTCCACTCACCCCAGAGGTCCACTGGGCAGGATAGGCAGGGGCATCGACCCAGGTGATCTTTAAGGTCCACTTGGCTTTGTAGCTCCAGGAGTTTGTGAACCTTCTAATCCAAGACTCCACCTGCCTGACTAGTGGGTTATATTGGTCATAGAATGTCTCATATTCCTGCAAAAGGAGGGGAGATAGGAATAAAAAAAAAATCAGCAGACATGACGTTTCTTGAGAGACTCCCCTGCCACCTCCCACCCCCCACACACTTTCTCTGCTTGGGGATCCTACTCACCTGAGACCTCCTACTTCCTGATCCTTCTCTATCCCAGCCCTGGATTTTTGCAATGAGCTTTTCTGACCCTGAGATCAATGGCAATGTGGACTGCACAGAAGCCTGGGTGTGTGGGATGGAAGGTCCTGGCCCAGAAATCCAAGTCTCCTATAACTGAACTCACAACCCTTAGCTCCAACCAGCTCAGAGAGTATAGCTACTCGTCCCCAATTTTACTTCCCCATGTTTAGTGGCTTTGGGGGGACCAACACATATCTCCTCCTCTTTGGAGCCTCTGCAGCAATCTCTGCATGGCAGGGCTACTGGACTCATTTGCTGCAGTAGCTTTCATCCTATGCTCGCACCTGTTGGAATTCTTAACACACACCAGGAGCTCAGGAGGACTCCCGCTTGATGAAGACAAGCTCCCCACACCCCTCCCCGCAGCCCTATTCTAAACTCACACTGAATTCCAGCCCTCACCTCTGGCACTTGCAGGTCTCCTCGCAGTTGGCAGGAAACATTCTTGAACCTGAGTGCTCCAGATGAGCTTACTTCCCCACTCCCTTATCTAAGCCACCCCATCACTTGCCCCTGTCAGTCCAAGGGTGGGTAGAAGGAGCCCTAGCAATACCCTCTCTGTGGCCATTTGTCTCCCGGGCTGGGTCCCACCTGATAAAATATGGTTCCCCGGTGGCTGGAGAAGTCAGCATCATCCCAGAAGGGAGCCACCACAGCCATGGTATCCCAGGCTGTGAAGCCTCGGCTAGGCGGATTGGGATAGGAGAAGATCTGGTTGTCTGAGTCCGGGAAAATGATCTGGCCATTGTCTGTGAACTGAGCACACAGTTGCAGGGTTACCATCAGGGAGGGTTGTGTGCAGGCAGGGGACAGTGCCTGCCTCAGGTCAGCTCCTCAGAAATAGGATGTCCAAGGACAGTTTAGGGCAGATGGTTCGAGCTGTCAACAGCCCCCGGGAGGGCGCCTCATCCCTCCCTTGCTGTCTGTGGAAGCCCTGCACACAGTGATTTCACACAAGTACCCTCTCCCAACAACTGGTCTCCTATCCTAAGGCAACAGGGTTTGTGTTTATCTTGCCTCAGTGGGAGACGCCCTGTCGGTACCCCTCAGCCTTGTCCTGAGGCTGGGGGCACATGAGACTCCTCCTTCAACGCTGTGCTACCCTCTCATAGTGTCTCTCATAATGTCTCATGGTCCCTGCCATTCCAGCTCCACACAGGGGGACATGCGGCAGAGAACCAGGAAGTCATTACAGAAAATGGCAACTGCAGGAACCAGCCAGATTCTGCAGGGTCGCCTTCGATTGGGAGCCAGGTCTTCTGAAAGCCACAGGGAACTGCCTGAGCTCAGGGTTGTCTCCCGGGCTAAGGCCATGCCTCACTCCCCGTCCACTTCAGCGGGAGCCCTGACTGGGAATTTGCGTGCATGTGCCTTCTTACGTAGGCACGCACGCACGCATGCACGCACTGACGTACACGGCTGCCTTTCGCCCTGCCCCCTGTTCATGATCCCCTGCTGTGCATCACGGACCCAGGATCTTGGGCGCAGCAGGGGAACTCACGTAAAGGAAATCTCTCAGAGAGGAGCCCAGAGGGAAGCCAATGTGAAGCTTGAAGAGGTGCGAGGTGAAGTCCACAGTTCTCCTGACGAACTGAGTGTCTCCAACGATTGGGCCGTAAGTAAGGAGAGGGATGCCTGGAGCAGGGAGGGAAGGGTAGGAGAGTTCTCGTGTGCCTTGACCTCAAGCCAGGCTCAGAGGGATACTTGCCTCATCCCTGCTCGCTCTTTTTGCAGGCGGGGAGAGTGGACTGCGAACCTTCAAGCACTCTACCCCTCACTCTCCTTCGTGTTTACCACACCGCACCTAGTCCCAGCCTGACCCACTGAGAGAGGAAATTGATTCCTGTCAACAGCCTGCACCACCTCTGTCATGGCAGCCATGACTCCTTTAACGTCCAAAGGCCAGACTCCTGTGCAGTGAGCATTAGTCATGCAAAGGCTGTCTTTTCACCAACGACAGAGCTGCTTCTTGAGTTGGGATTTCTCCAGATAAGCCTTCTTAGGTTGAGGAGCCTGGTCCTAAATATTTCCCAGAAGGGTCTCCTCCCTTCTGTAGGGGTGCCAGCCATTGCTTGGTGCCCTCGGTTGCCCTTGCTGGGAATCCTGCAGTGGTCTCTTTGTTGTTCTCCTTGCCTCTCTCTCTCTCTCTCTCTCTCTCTCTCTCTCACACACACACACACACACACACACCCAACTCACCTCTTATCACTCCTTTCCTTGCTTTCAGCAATCCCCAGTGCTTTGGAAATCTATGCAACCCTGGGAAGGTGCTCACCCCCGTATCTTGGTTACAGCTGCTCAAACCTCTCCTATCCATTCAGGATGCTCCTCTTCCTGTTGCTCCCACTCTCGCCAGGAAGCCTCTCATCCCCCTGGAAGCCATGCCCATGTGCCATAGGAACTGTTGATGGAGGGTACTTGATACTCTGGGCTAATTCCTTTAACAGCACTTACCAGGGCAGATCTGTCTCCTGCTAAATGGCATCTTGGTCATTTCTCTGTCATTAGCTCCCATCCTAGTGCCATGCACAAAGCTAGCACTTCACTCTTGTGCTGCCTTACTGTTCTCTGTAAGGCCCTTTTGACTTGACAAAGCAGAAACTGTGAGCAAACCAGATTTTGGTTGTATCACCTCTCTGTAGGAATACATGGAGCAGATGCACTTGCCATGATCCAGATGAGGCTGTGGAGATACCTGGACGACTGGGTCTTCAATGGTAGCTGCCATTCAACTACTACAACTATAACATCTACATCTGGGTTGGTGGCAGGGTGGAGAGGACCCACCTCCACAACATCACTCACTTTTCCCCTGCTGAACAGTGGATGTAGTGGGTGTGGAGGTTGTACGAGTCAGGGAGGTTGCTGGGGACGGTGACAGTGTTCTGCTTCTCCCATCATTTGTCCACAGTAAGGTTGTGACGATTCCTGGATATGGAGGAAGAGAAGACAGGAATGAGTGTTATAGTCAGAGCATAGCAGAGTCGAAGGGATTCACAGAGAACTGGAGCTGAAAAAGACAGCTAGAAGCCTTCTTGGCCTGCCTTCTGTCATACCCAAACCACTGCTCACATGAGAAGTTTTCCACTGTGGCCAAAGTTATGGTGACCCACCACACCTGCTGCTCACTCCTTCTGCTGGTTGGTTTGATCTTGGCCCTACCCTAAAATGCTGGTTTATCCACATTATCTAGTACTTCCTCTAGGGTGAATTGAGCCAATGGACCATTAGAAGACATTGGAGTCCCCACCAACTTGGTGCTTTGGAATTCGTTGTGGAGCCTGAAGAAGCTGTGGATGAGGAGGAAGTGCTGTCAGCTGGCAAGGATATGGTATGACCTGGGAATAGAGAGGAGGGGTTTACAGTAACAGGAAGAACAGGAACTGTTTGGGACAATTAAAAATTACTAGGAGAAGACTGAAAACAAGGTATGGTCTGAGTTGTAACAGAGCTACTAAAGGGAGTAGACATTGAGGAACGGCACTCTGAAAGACTGGAGAGCAGGTGAGTGAGATACTGTGGATGAATCAGGCATGGTCTTGACTGAAGGTGGAAATGATAATGTCAGTGTAGAATATAAAATGCTGTAGGACTCAATTGCTTGGGATTTGTTGCCTGGGGGTGGTAGTAGATGCTGTTGTTGGAACAGCCGCAGGATGATCACTGGGGGGTGTACCAGGGATGCCCACTGAGGAGGTGGGGACTTGTGTGGCTTGTGTGAAGGAGACGTGGGCATGCACAGATGGAGTGCCCACCGCGGTTGTGTTCTCATGGAACACTGACCTAGGAACTGTTGTCTGAGCTTCTTTGCTTGTGGTCAAAATGGAGGGAGGAGAACTAGAGGCTGCATCACTCAGGATGGCGGGATCTACCACAGATGGTCCTGTTGTTGTCCCTGAAGACCAAGTTGGCATTGATGTTGGGGTCTCATGGCTATAGTTGACTGATGTTGAGATAGAGATTGTGCTGCTGCCTGAAGGTGCTGCAGTGTGAGCCTCAGTGTGTAAAGATGTGTGCCTGCTGGCTGAGGGTGTGGGAGGTGTTGTTGTGACTGTTGAGAAGGCATCAGTGACGTGGGATACCAAGATGCTAACTTCTGATCCTCCAGTGGTTCCTGTTCTTTGAGTGTGAGCCATCTGGGAACCAGTTGGATTTTCTTGAGGAGAGGTGTTGGAAGAGGTTGTCCAGTCGGTTGAGCCATGAGAGATGGTGGGAAGAGAAGTGCTGGATCCTGCAACAGAGCTCATTCCTGTGATCCCAGAGGCCATGCCATGACTGGCTGCAGTCAACAGCAGCTGAGTAGTTGATGGAGTGGTGTTGTTGTCACTGGAGGGAGTTGTTGAGAAGCTGGTGATCTTACCTGAAGTGGATGCTTCCACAACAGCATTTCCTGGTGCTGTGCTTCCTGCCATTGGGGAGGATGTGGCAGCTGTGCCTGCTGAGGTGATGTCTGAGACCAAGGAAGTGAGAGTGTTGGTGTCTACTTTTCTGCTGGTTTCAGTGCTTTGGGTCTGGTGGGTTTGGGAAATGGCTGGGGCTGAGTTGGGTGAGGTATATGTAGAGGGCAGTGTCACCTGTTCTTTAAGGCTCCCTGTTGTGGAGATTACAGACATGGTGTGGAGACTGGTGCTTGTTCTAAAAGGTAACCTACCTCGTGAGGTCCTCAAGGTGATGTCAGGGCTGATTGATGATACCCTTGCTTCTGTGTTTGTGTGACTGTCCTCAGAGGATACTGGGTTGTCACTGTCCTTGGGAGGTTCCTCTTCAGAATCACTTTCTTCGGGTGAATATTTACTTGATGTTGATGAGGAAGCTGTAGTTGTTACTACGTTTACTGAACCAGCCACATAGGGGCCTGAATTCATGCTTTGGTATTTTTGTGTGGTTTCTGTGGCGTGAGTGTGAACTGTCTGGGAATTCAAAAACAGTTTCTCAGCAGCATGAGTGGTAGAACGTGATGATGACTGTCCCGCTAGGCCTGCTGGTGTAGAAACATCAAAGGCCGTGTTCCTTGTAGCCATGGCTGAAACATCTCCTGGGGTCACCTGGCTGGTGACAGGGCTAGACCACAGTTCAGCATCAATGGGTAGAGACACTGTAGAGGTAGGCATGTGAATGGAGGCATTGATTACTGGGTGGGAGGTAGACTTGTCTGCTTCAGTAACTATGGAGCTGCCAGGATTCCTAGGGCTGTGTGTAGAGTTCATGGAGTGTGATATTTTCCTGGGAGTGGTAGTAGATGCTGTTGTTGTAATAGCCGCAGGATGATCACTGGGGGGTGTACCAGGGATGCCCACTGAGGAGGTAGGGACTTGTGTGGCTTGTGTGAAGGAGACGTGGGCATGCACAGATGGAGTGCCCACCGCGGTTGTGTTCTCATGGAACACTGACCTAGGAACTGTTGTCTGAGCTTCTTTGCTTGTGGTCAAAATGGAGGGAGGAGAACTAGAGGCTGCATCACTCAGGATGGCGGGATCTACCACAGATGGTCCTGCTGTTGTCCCTGAAGACCAAGTTGGCATTGATGTTGGGGTCTCATGGCTATAGTTGACTGATGTTGAGATAGAGATTGTGCTGCTGCCTGAAGGTGCTGCAGTGTGAGCCTCAGTGTGTAAAGATGTGTGCCTGCTGGCTGAGGGTGTGGGAGGTGTTGTTGTGACTGTTGAGAAGGCATCAGTGACGTGGGATACCAAGATGCTAACTTCTGATCCTCCAGTGGTTCCTGTTCTTTGAGTGTGAGCCATCTGGAAACCAGTTGGATTTTCTTGAGGAGAGGTCTGGTGGGTTTGGGAAATGGCTGGGGCTGAGTCGGGTGAAGTATATGAAGAGGGCAGTGTCACCTGTTCTTTAAGGCTCCCTGTTGTGGAGATTACAGACATGGTGTGGAGACTGGTGCTTGTTCTAAAAGGTAACCTACCTCGTGAGGTCCTCAAGGTGATGTCAGGGCTGATTGATGATACCCTTGCTTCTGTGTTTGTGTGACTGTCCTCAGAGGATCCTGGGTTGTCACTGTCCTTGGGAGGTTCCTCTTCAGAATCACTTTCTTCGGGTGAATATTTACTTGATGTTGATGAGGAAGCTGTAGTTGTTACTACGTTTACTGAACCAGCCACATAGGGGCCTGAATTCATGCTTTGGTATTTTTGTGTGGTCTCTGTGGCGTGAGTGTGAACTGTCTGGGAATTCAAAAACAGTTTCTCAGCAGCATGAGTGGTAGAACGTGATGATGACTGTCCCGCTAGGCCTGCTGGTGTAGAAACATCAAAGGCCGTGTTCCTTGTAGCCATGGCTGAGACATCTCCTGGGGTCACCTGGCTGGTGACAGGGCTAGACCACAGTTCAGCATCAATGGGTAGAGACACTGTAGAGGTAGGCATGTGAATGGAGGCATTGATTACTGGGTGGGAGGTAGACTTGTCTGCTTCAGTAACTATGGAGCTGCCAGGATTCCTAGGGCTGTGTGTAGAGTTCATGGAGTGTGATATTTTCCTGGGAGTGGTAGTAGATGCTGTTGTTGTAATAGCCGCAGGATGATCACTGGGGGGTGTACCAGGGATGCCCACTGAGGAGGTAGGGACTTGTGTGGCTTGTGTGAAGGAGACGTGGGCATGCACAGATGGAGTGCCCACCGCGGTTGTGTTCTCATGGAACACTGACCTAGGAACTGTTGTCTGAGCTTCTTTGCTTGTGGTCAAAATGGAGGGAGGAGAACTAGAGGCTGCATCACTCAGGATGGCGGGATCTACCACAGATGGTCCTGCTGTTGTCCCTGAAGACCAAGTTGGCATTGATGTTGGGGTCTCATGGCTATAGTTGACTGATGTTGAGATAGAGATTGTGCTGCTGCCTGAAGGTGCTGCAGTGTGAGCCTCAGTGTGTGAAGATGTGTGCCTGCTGGCTGAGGGTGTGGGAGGTGTTGTTGTGACTGTTGAGAAGGCATCAGTGACGTGGGATACCAAGATGCTAACTTCTGATCCTCCAGTGGTTCCTGTTCTTTGAGTGTGAGCCATCTGGGAACCAGTTGGATTTTCTTGAGGAGAGGTGTTGGAAGAGGTTGTCCAGTCGGTTGAGCCATGAGAGATGGTGGGAAGAGAAGTGCTGGATCCTGCAACAGAGCTCATTCCTGTGATCCCAGAGGCCATGCCATGACTGGCTGCAGTCAACAGCAGCTGAGTAGTTGATGGAGTGGTGTTGTTGTCACTGGAGGGAGTTGTTGAGAAGCTGGTGATCTTACCTGAAGTGGATGCTTCCACAACAGCATTTCCTGGTGCTGTGCTTCCTGCCATTGGGGAGGATGTGGCAGCTGTGCCTGCTGAGGTGAAGTCTGAGACCAAGGAAGTGAGAGTGTTGGTGTCTACTTTTCTGCTGGTTTCAGTGCTTTGGGTCTGGTGGGTTTGGGAAATGGCTGGGGCTGAGTCAGGTGAGGTATATGTAGAGGGCAGTGTCACCTGTTCTTTAAGGCTCCCTGTTGTGGAGATTACAGACATGGTGTGGGGACTGGTGCTTGTTCTAAATGATGCTTGTTCTGAGGTCCTCAAGGTGGTGTCAGGGCTGATTGATGATACCCTTGCTTCTGTGTTTGTGTGACTGTCCTTGGAAGATACTGGGTCATAGGTTACAACTTCACCTGTGGTGTATGCTTCTGGAGACATGCTTTCTGCAGGTGAATGTCTGTTTGGCAGGGATGAAGAAGGTGTAGTTGTTACTACATGGACTTTTTCTGTCATGGGAAATACTGAAGTCATCATTTGGAATTCTCTTGTGGATTGTTTGGCTTGATCTGTCTGGGAGCTAGGTAGATATTCCTGTGCAGATGCACTGGTAAACCATGATAACTCAGTTTTTGACCATGCTGTAGGTGTTTCTTGGGATGTATGTCTGTCTGTTGCAAATGAAGGAGATGGGGATGTCACCATTTCCATGTCCCAAGTCATATCAGAGCTTGGAGTCCTGACTTCATTCTCACCAGCAGTCCCTGAAATTTGTGGCCATTGTGTCTGGGAAAGTGCTACTATGGTTTTTTGAGTAGAGGTGCTCACATCTGGCTGTGTGTTTGACTCTTTTAGTTCCCCTGTTGTTGAGACTTCAGGTGTCACCCAAACTATAGCACCAGCTGTTGAAGGAGTTGCACTTACTGTGCCAAGGATACGTGTAACTCCTGTTGGCAAGGACAACAGTTCTTTTGGAAATGGAGTTGTGTTGCTATCAGTAGAGACTGGGGAAGTTAACATTGTCATTTTCTCTGGAATGAATGCTTTCTGAGACATACTTGTAGAGACCAGGCTGCTGTCATGAGACTGTCCTGGGGTTTCTGAGGTTTGACTCTTGTTGGTGGTAGCACTTGTTGATATTTTGAAAGTTGAAGAAGTAATTGAAAGGGGTGGTGGTGACACTTTAGAAGTGAATGCAGGCATGCTTGCAGTCATAGGTGGTGCTGTGTTCCCTATATTTGCTACAGTGGAATCAGTGGATGTTGGCACTTTGAGCATCTTTGTTGTTGTTGGGGATGTGTTTCTGACAGTAGAAGGAGGTACAGTGGTTCTTTCAGTTGAAAGAGCTGTTTTCTGAGAAATGATCGGTGTCAAAGTGTGCCCACTCGGAAATGCCGCAGGAGTTGATGTGGTCACCTCAGTGGAGGCATTGGTGTGCAATGCTTTGGTAACCTCCACATTCAAAGACTGGGGATTCTGAGAAAACTCTGATGTCTCCTGCACAAGAGTCCTAGAAGTTGCTGTTGTTGGTCCTGCTGATGTAGTTGGCAATGATAGTACTATTGTCCCAGGAATACGGCTTGTAGATACATTGAGTAAGGCATCTGCTGTGTTTTGTGGAGTATGATCTGTAAAGGTTGGCCTGGTGACCATTCCTAATATCGCTTGGTGGATGCTCCTGACGCTGGAAGGGAAAGAGACAGTTGACTCACCTGGCACAGAGAGTGTCAAGGAAGAGCTCCATGAGGTATCCTGACTAGATGATGGGGTAGAGTACACTATTGAGTTTTCTTTCCTATCAGTGGTAGTGGAGAATGCTAATGACTCTACTGGAACATTCCCAGAAGTAGATGATGACATGTCTCTTGTGGTTGCCAGAGTCGAATGTGAGGAGGTGTTCCTTAAGAACACATCATATGTTATATTGCTAAATGCGGAAAGAGATGTGGCAGTATCTCTGATACCGGATGTTGTGTGAGAGACTGTTTCTGTATAAGTGTGTCCACTTGGAGAAGGTGTAGGGAATGATGTGGTAGTATTAACGGGGAGATTGGTGGGAGACTGACTGCTAGTCTCCATAATCTGAGTCTGAGGGTTTTCTGAAGTTGCTGACGTTTCCTGAGTGGAAGTGCCTATAGAACTTGTCATTGAGCTTTCTTTCATTGTCCTTGCACTTGTTGGAAGAAGACTCCCAGTTGTCACTGATGTTGTGTCTCCTGTGGTTGCCAGAGTTGAGGCTGATGAAGTTGACATAGTGACCAATTCTGATGCTGTTGGGAGGATCTTGTTGAATGTAGATGATGGAGATGTTCCAGCTGGAGTGGATGTTGCCTCAAAGTGTATCTCTGTTTGGGAGTATCCACTTGATGAAGATGGAGGAATTGATGTGCCTATGTCCATGTGGGTACTTGTTGGAGACTGTTTTCTGGTCTCCGTACTCTGAGTCTGAGCATTTTCTAAAGTTGCAGTTGCTTCCTGGGTGGAGGTCCCTATAGAAGTTACCGTTGAGCTTTCTTTCATTGTTATAGCACTGGTTAGAAAAAGACTCCCAGATGCCAGAGATGTTGAGCCTCTTGTGGTTGCCTGGGTTGAAGATGAAGAAGTTGACATTATGACTAAATCAGATGTTATTTCGTTTGCACTATGGAATGTGGTAGATGATGTTGCCTCAAAGTGTGTCTCTGACCAGTTGTGTCCACTTGCTGAAGATGAAGGGCCTGATGTGGTCACCTCCATGTGGGTACTTGTTGGGGATTGTCTGCTGGTCTCTATACTCTGAGTCAGAGCGTTTTCTGAAGTTGCTGTTGTTTCCTGAGTGGAAGACATTGTAGAAGTGGATACTAAATTTTGTTTGCTTTCAGTGTTTTGAGGAAGACTCCCAGTTGTCAGTGATATTGTGTTTCTTGTGGTTGCCAGAGTTGAGGCTGATGAAGTTGACATAGTGACCAACTCTGGTGCTATTTCATTTGCCTTACTGAATGTCAAAGATGATGGAGATGTTCCAGCTGGAGTGGATGTTGCCTCAGAGTGTGTCTTTGTCCCAGTGTGTCCACTTGATGAAGATTGAGGGCTTGATGTGGTCACGTCCATATGGGTACTTGGAGTGTGTCTGCTGGTCTTTGTACTCTGAATCTGAGGGTTTTCTGAAGTTGCTGATGTTTCCTGAGTGGAGGTCCCTACAGAAGTTGCTGTTGAGCTTTCTTTCATTGTTCTTGCTCTTGTTGGAAGAAGACTCCCAGTTGTCACTGATGTTGTGTCTCCTGTGGTTGCCAGAGTTGAGGCTGCAGAAGATGACAGAGTGATCAACTTTGATGCTGTTGGGAGGATCTTGTTGAATGTAGATGATGGAGATGTTCCAGCTGGAGAGGATGTTGCCTCAGAGTGTGTCTCTGTTTGGGAGTATCCACTTGATGAAGATGGAGGGCTTGATGTGCCTATGTCCATGTGGGTACTTGTTGGAGACTGTTTGCTGGTCTCTGTACTCTGAGTCTGAGCATTTTCCAAAGTTGCAGTTGTTTCCTGAGTGGAAGACATTGTAGAAGTGGATACTAAATTTTGTTTGCTTTCAGTGTTTTGAGGAAGACTCCCAGTTGTCAGTGATATTGTGTTTCTTGTGGTTGCCAGAGTTGAGGCTGATGAAGTTGACATAGTGACCAACTCTGGTGCTATTTCGTTTGCCTTACTGAATGTCAAAGATGATGGAGATGTTCCAGCTGGAGAGGATGTTGCCTCAGAGTGTGTCTTTGTCCTGGTGTGTCCACTTGAGGAAGATGGAGGGCCTGATGTGCTCACATCCATGTGGGTACCTGTTGGGGATTGTGTGCTGGTCTCTGTACTCTGAATCTGAGGGTTTTCTGAAGTTGCTGATGTTTCCTGAATGGAGGTCCCTACAGAAGTTGCCGTTGAGCTTTCTTTCATTGTCTTTGCTCTTGTTGGAAGAAGACTCCCAGTTGTCACTGATGTTGTGTCTCCTGTGGTTGCCAGAGTTGAGGCTGATGAAGTTGACATAGTGATCAACTTTGATGCTGTTGGGAGGATCTTGTTGAATGTAGATGGTGGAGATGTTCCAGCTGGAGTGGATGTTGCCTCAAAGTGTGTCTCTGTTTGGGAGTATCCACTTGCTGAAGATGAAGGGCCTGATGTGGTCACCTCCATGTGGGTACTTGTTGGGGATTGTCTGCTGGTCTCTATACTCTGAGTCAGAGCGTTTTCTGAAGTTGCTGTTGTTTCCTGAGTGGAAGACATTGTAGAAGTGGATACTAAATTTTGTTTGCTTTCAGTGTTTTGAGGAAGACTCCCAGTTGTCAGTGATATTGTGTTTCTTGTGGTTGCCAGAGTTGAGGCTGATGAAGTTGACATAGTGACCAACTCTGGTGCTATTTCATTTGCCTTACTGAATGTCAAAGATGATGGAGATGTTCCAGCTGGAGTGGATGTTGCCTCAGAGTGTGTCTCTGTCCCGGTGTGTCCACTTGATGAAGATTGAGGACTTGATGTGGTCTCGTCCATGTGGGTACTTGGAGAGTGTCTGCTGGTCTTTGTACTCTGAATCTGAGGGTTTTCTGAAGTTGCTGATGTTTCCTGAGTGGAGGTCCCTACAGAAGTTGCCGTTGAGCTTTCTTTCATTGTCCTTGCTCTTGTTGGAAGAAGACTCCTAGTTGTCACTGATGTTGTGTCTCCTGTGGTTGCCAGAGTTGAGGCTGAAGAAGTTGACATTGTGATCAACTTTGATGTTGTTGGGAAGATCTTGTGGAGTGTAGATGATGGAGATGTTCCAGAAGGAGAGGATGTTGCCTCAAAGTGTGTCTCTGTTCGGGAGTATCCACTTGAGGAAGATGGAGGAATTGATGTGCCTATGTCCATGTGGGTACTTGTTGGAGACTGTTTGCTGGTCTCTGTACTCTGAGTCTGAGCATTTTCCAAAGTTGCAGTTGTTTCCTGAGTGGAAGACATTGTAGAAGTGGATACTAAATTTTGTTTGCTTTCAGTGTTTTGAGGAAGACTCCCAGTTGTCAGTGATATTGTGTTTCTTGTGGTTGCCAGAGTTGAGGCTGATGAAGTTGACATAGTGACCAACTCTGGTGCTATTTCGTTTGCCTTACTGAATGTCAAAGATGATGGAGATGTTCCAGCTGGAGAGGATGTTGCCTCAGAGTGTGTCTTTGTCCTGGTGTGTCCACTTGAGGAAGATTGAGGGCCTGATGTGCTCACTTCCTTGTGGGTACCTGTTGGGGATTGTCTGCTGGTCTCTGTACTCTGAATCTGAGGGTTTTCTGAAGTTGCTGATGTTTCCTGAGTGGAGGTCCCTACAGAAGTTGCCGTTGAGCTTTCTTTCATTGTCCTTGCTCTTGTTGGAAGAAGACTCCCAGTTGTCACTGATGTTGTGTCTCCTGTGGTTGCCAGAGTTGAGGCTGATGAAGTTGACATAGTGATCAACTTTGATGCTGTTGGGAGGATCTTGTTGAATGTAGATGGTGGAGATGTTCCAGCTGGAGTGGATGTTGCCTCAAAATGTGTCTCTGTTTGGGAGTATCCACTTGAGGAAGATGGAGGAATTGATGTGCCTATGTCCATGTGGGTACTTGTTGGAGACTGTTTGCTGGTCTCTGTACTCTGAGTCTGAGCATTTTCCAAAGTTGCAGTTGTTTCCTGGGTGGTGGCCATTGTAGAAGTGGATACTAAATTTTGTTTGCTTTCAGTGTTTTGAGGAAGACTCCCAGTTGTCAATGATGTTGTGTCTCCTGTGGTTGCCAGAGTTGAGGCTGATGAAGTTGACATAGTGACCAACTCTGGTGCTATTTCGTTTGCCTTACTGAATGTCAAAGATGATGGAGATATTCCAGCTGGAGAGGATGTTGCCTCAGAGTGTGTCTCTGTCCCGGTGTGTCCACTTGAGGAAGATGGAGGGCCTGATGTGCTCACTTCCTTGTGGGTACCTGTTGGGGATTGTCTGCTGGTCTCTGTACTCTGAATCTGAGGGTTTTCTGAAGTTGCTGATGTTTCCTGAATGGAGGTCCCTACAGAAGTTGCCGTTGAGCTTTCTTTCATTGTCTTTGCTCTTGTTGGAAGAAGACTCCCAGTTGTCACTGATGTTGTGTCTCCTGTGGTTGCCAGAGTTGAGGCTGATGAAGTTGACATAGTGATCAACTTTGATGCTGTTGGGAGGATCTTGTTGAATGTAGATGGTGGAGATGTTCCAGCTGGAGTGGATGTTGCCTCAAAGTGTGTCTCTGTTTGGGAGTATCCACTTGATGAAGATGGAGGGCTTGATGTGCCTATGTCCATGTGGGTACTTGTTGGGGATTGTCTGCTGGTCTCTGTACTCTGAGTCTGAGCATTTTCCAAAGTTGCAGTTGTTTCCTGGGTGGTGGCCATTGTAGAAGTGGATACTAAATTTTGTTTGCTTTCAGTGTTTTGAGGAAGACTCCCAGTTGTCAGTGATATTGTGTTTCTTGTGGTTGCCAGAGTTGAGGCTGATGAAGTTGACATAGTGACCAACTCTGGTGCTATTTCGTTTGCCTTACTGAATGTCAAAGATGATGGAGATGTTCCAGCTGGAGAGGATGTTGCCTCAGAGTGTGTCTCTGTCCCAGTGTGTCCACTTGATGAAGATTGAGGACTTGATGTGGTCACGTCCATGTGGGTACTTGGAGAGTGTCTGCTGGTCTTTGTACTCTGAATCTGAGGGTTTTCTGAAGTTGCTGACGTTTCCTGAGTGGAGGTCCCTACAGAAGTTGCTGTTGAGCTTTCTTTCATTGTCCTTGCTCTTGTTGGAAGAAGACTCCCAGTTGTCACTGATGTTGTGTCTCCTGTGGTTGCCAGAGTTGAGGCTGAAGAAGTTGACATTGTGATCAACTTTGATGTTGTTGGGAGGATCTTGTTGAATGTAGATGGTGGAGATGTTCCAGCTGGAGTGGATGTTGCCTCAGAGTGTGTCTCTGTTTGGGAGTATCCACTTGAGGAAGATGGAGGGCCTGATGTGGTCACCTCCGTGTGGGTGCTTGGTAGCTGTTTGCTACTCTCTGTACTCTGAGTCTGTGTATTTTCAGTAACTGCTGTTTTTTCCCCATTTGAGTTTCCTTTAGTTGTTTCTGTTGAGTTCTTTGTCGCGTTGGTGGTAGAGTGAGTCTCAGGTTTATATGATGATATGTCTCCTGTGTTTTTCAGAGTAGATAATTGAGAAAGTGTTGAGGCTGTTGTAATGTTTCCTTAGAAATAAGAAAGAAGAGTTATAGGATTTAAGCATATTTTTTGAAGCTTATGTTTTATGACTCATTGTTTTGTACATGTAGCATTATATGCCCGCATCAACAAGATCACTGCTGCATGAGTTTATTCATTTAGTGAATGATAATAAGTCTGAACTATAGACAGGTTACTGATTATATTAAAATATGGTAGGTAACATATGTCGCCATGCGGCTTAATATAGATGTTGTTGATGGAATCGGAATAATTGCTATAGTACCTAGTATTTTCTCTAGGCAAGTGAAAATTCAAAATCCATCTTCCTTAGTCTCAAAGCATTGTTCAATTAACACACACCCATGTTTCGTAATGTGGAAAAAATTTTAATTACCCAAATCTTTCACAGACAGTTTTCAAGCAGCACCAATAAACCATTAGCCCCCTTTCATTCTTCTTCCCCGACTGCTGACTCCTGTGTGTTTTTTTCCCTCAACTCATCTCCTGGCGCTAAGAAAATCTCTCACTACAGCGATGAGCTTAATATCCTGTCTTCACCCTGAATATTCTCTGGCAGTTAGCTGGAAGCCCAGGCCTCCTTTGGAGCACTGAGACATTATAAATGTTGTGTACTTGTGCAGTCCTGTGCTGTGTAATACAATTTTGGTCAACAGTGGGTCTCCGGTGGTCTCTGGAGACTGTCTGCCTGCCTTTGTGTAAGTCACCATGCTGTTTGCACAATGACAAGGTCACCTGACAATGAATTGCTCAAAATGTCCCCACAAGTAAGCAGCACATGACTGTGGATTTGAGTACCTTCCTTACATGAATACCTTAACAATGGTGTAAATAGCTGTGTTTATCCAGCATAAAGCAATCAGGAGGCATTCAGCAAAATGGGAATAGTTAAAATGGAATCACCAAATAGTTTATTTTGGTGCAAAAAGCTTTAAAAATATATACATACTTCTTTCATAATATTTAATGCCTGGATTTGAGATTTTTTGAACTGAATAAGCTCTTTCTTTTAAAACATTTATTTATTTGAAAAGCAGAATGACAGATAGACAGACATAGAGCCCTTCCATCCACTGGTCCATTTCCCAAATACACATAAAATCCGCAGCTCATCCAGGCTGAAGCCAGGAACTACATCCAAGTCTGTGCCAGGAGTTAATGCCTGCCACTCTCTGGGTGCATTAGCAGGAAGCTGAATGGGAAGTAGAGGAGTCAGGACTCAATCCAGAAATCGGATTTGGAGTATAGGTATCCTAAGCAGTGACGTAACCAGCTGTCCTAAAACTCAGTGATAATGATTTAATTGCATTTCATGTTTTATATTATATTGGGCAGCTTGTATTGGTTATTTTCCCCAAAACAAAAACTTTTTAGTGTCCAACAAGTAAAATTAGTATTTTTAAAAATAAGTTCTTCTTTTGATTTAGTCTTTATGTTGATGCTTTTCCTCATATGGTCAATGAGTTGTCACCATAAGCCCAATTAAAAATAAATCTGATGTATTTGATTCTTTATTGAAAATATTTCTCCACTTATTACAAGGGATTGTCTTCTTAAGATTTAAGAATAGGAAGACCAAGACATTTGCTCCTTCGACTGGAGCTGTTTTCTCCTAGGTGACACCATAGGCTAGATTTAAAATCCTGCTTCCATCAAAGCACAGAGCATCAGCATGGCTGCTACTCAGTGGCTGGGGAATGGAGGGATCTGAAGCATCTGGGACCTCCAAATTAGTCAACTACAGAAATGAGCTCTTTCAAAAACCTTGCACTGTGAATGTCCTTTTCAAATGAAAAAATGTCATTCATTATTTCCCCCAAGGAATTCAGAAATAAAATCAAATGTCAACATATCTGATGTGATTTGAAATGACCAATCTTTTTTGGCTAACATTACCAAATATTCCTTGCCTTAGACAGGCCTGAGGGAAACACAAAGCTTGAGGCAGCTCCCTCATTGCGGTAAAAGAGTACCTGGGGAAGGATTAAAGAACCATTCTATGGTGAAGAATAAGAGGCCGAGGGACAGGATTCCCCCAGAGGACAGAGCCTGGTCAGGTCTGCTTCAAATTGTTTAAAATAAGAGACCTCAGGATCACAGAAATCAACTCAAACATCGTGCTGGGGCATAAAAAGCCAAGGGCAGACTAGAAAGGTGAAGGGAAACCTTAAACTCCATCATGAGCAGGGTCAATGTTCTTACCCAAAGCTGTGTTAAGTCTTCCAGCCTAAATTACCCGCAGTGGACTGCTGGGAGTTTTCCTATACATACATGTTTATGATCAAGTTTAACATGTAAATTAGCCCCAGTAAGATACTGACAGCAGTTAACTAACAGAAAATGACAATTATAATAGTATACTTGAACATAAATTATGTAAACCTCTAAATGCTTCCTTTCAAGAATTTTGCATTTAGTATTTGCAGAGTCTACTTGACCAAAGCATTACTTATTTTGGAAGTAAGTTAGAGTTCTAGTTTCTTTTTCATTTTCAGTATTTGGCCCAATGTACCAGAAACCCAAGAATTAAAGCACATGCTCTGGCCCTGTAACATCCTAATAGGATGTTATGATTGGTTTTCTTTCTTCTATTCAGTTCTCAGGCACAGTGTTTAAATGGCAACTCATTTGTTCAAAATATTTGACTGCACCTATTCTAGCTGCATACTTTCCTATTGAGAGACCTGTTGAACTTGGTCTCAGAGGTCTCCAGATCTTTAAAATCAAGAACAAATCAAGTTGGGGGAATCCCAGTGCCTATGAAACTGTGTCACATAATACAATCTAATTAATAATAATAATAATAAAAAAGAACAAACCAAGAAAACTTGAGAGTCTTTCTTAGAAACTTTTTTCACCCCTTTGGGTTTTCACTAGATTTCTAGCTGTTCTCAAATATCTGTGTGTGTGTGTGTGTGTGCTGTCTGTCTCTCTTTTTAACCTCAGGGGAAAAACATTTACAGTGAGACAAACTCCTAGGGAAGCACTTAGATTGGTGTTCCTGGAGTTGATTCATTTCACCACTTCCTGTTCTTCAGAGAGCAGTTTAGACTTTCAGGTGACTGACGGGTGATTCTAAGTGAGCTGTAATTTATTAAAAGAGAAGTGGCTCCCAGTTGCAGCCTTCCACACTTTAATAAGAGCAACTTCCTGATGACACACCTCTACACTGATGAGAACAAAGGCATGGCTTAAACCCCAGAGCTGTGTCCTAGAAGGTCCTGTCCAAAATGCCTGTGTTTCCACCTTAAAAGGCAAATTCCTTTATTCATAATTATTAAATTTACTTTTACAATTCCCAACCCCTCATCTGCTCTCCCCTCAATAAAGCTGTAAGATCTGGTTTAGTTTAAAAAGTATCTTCTGGGTGATTCTTATTAACTTTATTCGTTTTCCTAAGACCATCACCAAAAGCATTGCTCACTCGTTATTTTGAATCACTAGACAAAGCTACGTACATACCAACTTTCTGAACTTGTAGTTGCTCTGCAGTTAACATCTTTTGAGATGCCTTCGTCATTTCTGCTAAACTCAGTATTGGTGGGAAAGCTTTCTTGATAGCACAGACCAATTTTTTTAAGTAACGTCAATGATACAGAAGGAGAGAAAAATCATTTGCAAATGCCAGATAATTAATGTGTTATAAATATTTACCATGCAGAGCAGAGATGTAGTGAAAGAGAGGAAAGCACTGAGTGAAAAAGCTAAAAACTAGTAAGTCAGGGAATCTGCTGATTTCTGAGACTGTGTTATGGGTTTAAGTTTTGAAAGACAAAGAAAGCATCGAGATCAAGATACTGTGAACTGAGTTGCCTTTGCATAAAGCTGAAATTCTTGGTAGTAAAAGTTCATTTAAAAAGAAACAAACAAGAAAGAGAATGAAAGTGGCTAGGGGGCCCAGCACAGTAACCTAGTGGCTACTGTATCCCATTTTGTATCCCATTTCCCTTCCAGCTCCCTGTTTGTGGCCCGGGAAAGCAGTCAAGGACAGCCCAAGGCTTTGGGACCCTGCGCCCACATGGAAGACTAGTAAGAACCAACGGACAGAAGATCTCTCTGTAACTCTTTTAAGTAAATATTTTTTAAAAAACCAATATAGGATAGAATAGCAATGGGACAAAACATGCAAATAGAAACAATTATAAATAGAATGCACAAAGCCAAAAGTTGATTGTTGGAAGGTAAAATAGGCAAATGCCTGGAAGTATTAAGAAAGAGAAATAGAGAAGGAGGAAGTGAAGAAGGAAGGAAGAAGAAAGGAAGAAAAAGAAAAGCTTAGTAGAAATGAAAAAGAACATAAAGAAAAATTTAAGAGATAACACTCTAATACTTTTTTGTCAAAATGTAAAAATTTAAATGAGTTGGGCAATTCCTTAAAATATAAGCTATTCAGATTAAGTGAGGGGAAACAAAAATAAAAAGCCTGAATTTGAACTTTTAAATTAAGTCAGCAGTTTAAATAAAAAACTATCCTCTCACCGTAAAAGGTAGACAAAGATGATTTTCTAGGAAATTTTATCAGATATTCAAATAAGTAATTTTAATTTTATACAAACTCTTCTAGAGTTTAGAAGAACAATTGGGCCTGATGCAATGGCTTAGTAATTAAATCCTTGCCTTGCACGTGCTAGGATCCCATATGAGTGCCAGTTCATGTCCCAGCTGCTCCACTTCCCATCCAGCTCCCTGCTTGTGACCTGGGAAAGCAGTTGAGGATGGCCCAAAGCCTTGGGACCCTGCACCATTATGGAAGACCTAGAAGAAGCCCCTGGCTCCTGGCTTTAGACTGGCTCCGCTCTGACTGTTTTGGCCACTTGGGGAGTGAATCAGTGAGTGGAAGATCTTTGTATGTCTCTCTTTTTCTCTGTAGATCTGCCTATCAAATAAAAATAAATAAATCTTAAAGAAAAAGGATTGCTCTACAGCTTATAGGGTTGCTATCTATAATTTCAATGCCAAGCCCAAAGACAGTCTAAAGAAAGGAAAAAGATACATTAATACATTT